GAACACGTAGCGGTTTCATAAGAAAGGACGTCGCAAGACTTGAAATTAGTGTGTGGGGTTCCTTAGTAGCGTAATGTTTATGCAACTGCGTCTTCTTCGAAGGACGCCCCACGACAGCCCCCCCGGAGGGCCCCAAGATCGACACAGACGGACCCAAGAGCCGACAAGGCCGCCATCCAAAATGTTTTCGAAAATGATCTGTAAGAGGCACCGCGACAATTGCGCGCAACAACCACACAAAACGTCCCACGCCTGCGTTGCTGCCGTGCAGCTTGCCCGGGCACGGCACCGGATTCGCACGGCAGCGCAGCGGGCGAGGATAACTGTCCAAAAGTCCGCCGCGTCTTACCTGCTGGTGTAATCCAAAGGCAGTAAGCAGATGGAATTTCTGATCTGCGGGTCTGCAACTCGTCCAACGGCTTCAAGCCCGTCCGCGAAATCGTAAATCAGACATGCCTCGACCAAGCTTAACCACATTTTATCGACAGGCTCGTCTACTTCGTTTGACGAACGGCCGCGTACACTCAATTACGGGTCTGCTGTCGTCGTCGTCGACATCGCCGATACCTGCCTGCTGATGCAAGGGCTAGACAATCAATCAAGGTTCAGAGTACATGGCGGATACACTGGCGTTTCAACCAAGACGCGCAACGTGGATGTAGATACAATGTCTGTGGCCAACAGCCCCGATGACGAGGCTGACTCTGCTGATGCGAACAAGACATCAATGTACAACTCATCAATGTCCGAACATCTTCTTCCTTGCAACACATTCCTGGGGGCGGCTATGAGAAGCTGCTGGTAATGACGTCGTTCCCTCGTTACTGGTATCCCTGGCTCCGCCTGAATCTATGCCAGATACCGGTTGATCGTCCAGGATGCTCACAGCGTACTGGGCGATCAGGGGCTGGAAGTAACCTCGTGCCCCTGCTCCTCCTCCTCCTCCTCCTCGTCCTCCTCCTCCTCCTCTTCTCTGCACTGCAGCGTCGTAGCCTTGCACGCGCCTGTCCGCGAAGGCGGCGGGGAACGGCCATTAGATGTTTTTTTGCCCTGCGGTCTGGATCAAGGGCTGCGACCCGCAGGCTGGAGGGGAATTACGCACGATGATTTGACACTGTCTCTTGCTGCCACGAACCTTACGGGAAGAAGCGGTGCGCAGTTCACCCAGCGAGGCACTTAGGAGGATGGAGAGTAAAGAGCCTGAAGGGAAAAAAATCGGGTAACCGACGAAAGCTGCGCCACCACGCACGCGCGTGCATGTGAAATATCAGCATCATGTCTGACTATTCTGCCGCATTGCAACTCACGCAGTGAGCTTCAGAGTGCCTGCTGCATCTGAAGAGCGGCGGCACAGGAGGACGAGGCCTTCGATGGCGCTTCGCGCGTGTGTTTGTTATCGCAAGATGGTCCAAAATGATCATCGATGGTCCTCGCCGGGAAAAGATGCACACATGTCCGAACGACGCCAAGGTTTTGCTCATGCCCGAGGCGGCGCCAAGGGAGCGTCCAGCCCCGACCCAAAAAACCCGCGCGGACCTCCGAAATACTCTGTTTGGTGAAGGTCTGAGGCCCTCGAAAGGGCGTGGATCTCCGAGCCGCAGCTTGTTCTTCTTCGAGCAAAGGGCGAACGTGTCCCAGCAACAGACGCTGCTCCGCCAGCCCCGATGTTGGTGCCACCACCGCTCGCTCGCCAGCGGAGACCCCAGATTCCCCGACCGATCTCCAATTCACTACCTGCCAAGTCCGCCTCCTCCGTTCTCCAGCCCCTCGTAGTCGTGGTTGTCGTCGTCGTCCTCCTCTTGCTCCTTGCATTTCTCCTTCTCCCTCCTCCCCCCGCCTTCTGCCTCGTCCCTCCGGTGCCCCAAACGCGCGTCGGTCCTCCAGTCCTCCCTCCGCCCTCCTCCCTTATGTTGTTCCTGATGTTTCGTCCTTCTTCCTCCCTCGTCCCTCGTCTTTTTTCCCCCTCGTCTGTTTTTCCTCCTTCCCCCGTCATCCTCCCCCGTCCTTTTTCATCATTGTTGGTTCCCTCTGTTTTACCTCATCCTGTTGTCCCTCCTCTCCCCGAATGGCTGTAGGCAAGAGAGGCCTTTGGTGCGCGGCATTGGGGGCCACGGGGGGGGGGGGCACATAGCTATCCCATCACTTTCAGCGATCCGGAGACCCCAGTCGCCCCGCACCCAAAGGCCAAAGGTCACCCTGGCGAAGGGTCTTTCTTACGCGTAGCCGCTCGTTGCATTCCACACTGGACGAGCGCGTTCCACCACTCGCAAAGCAGCTACTCGCAAGTGGCCTGGATCCGTCCGCCGCAGGGGACCTAGGATGAACTGCATTGAAGCGGAAGTGTGCTGTTCGGGCGTCTGCGAGCAGGCACTTTGCGAGTAGGGGATCGCGCTCGGTGACGCACGGCCTCCAGGCTGGGCGTGCGGAAGTCGAGTCCTGCCATCGCTCGGACGTCCATTTCCCGTGCATGTTTCGGTTTCGTGCGTGTTTTTTTTGCTCGATGGTCCAGGGTGGTCCTCGATGGTTCTCGTCGAGGAAAGAAAGCACACGTCCGAGCGATGCCAGGGAGTCGGACGAACGAGGAAGGCAGCCCAAGGGGAGCTCCGCGAGACGCAACTCACGCGCGTGGCTCTCCCGGAGCCGTGCCTCGAGGCATGCGCCCAGCGGCGGGGCCGACAGCGGCTGCGTGCAGCAGCGCTCTTCACGCCCCCTTTTATTTCCCTATCCCCCCCCTGCCGCTTCGCCCGACCCGCCGGGGGAGGCAGCGAGGACGAAGCGAGAAGAGCGAGAAGTGCGAGGTTGAGCAGGGACCGACCGTCCCAGCACTCCTGTAGTCCTACCACAACATGTTCTTAGAACCCAAGAATGTTCTACGAGCAAACACAATGTTCTTAGAACGCAAGCCCGGTGTGATAAAACAAGACAGACTGCGCAAGAAAGGTTCTAAGAACATCTCGTGGAAACCACAGAAGGGTCTTAGAACATTGCTTGGTAGGGCTATAGACGAGCCAGGATGCTTCGCCACTGCTTGAGCGAGGACAGGGGCTGGAGACTCCAGGGCCTCACCATCGCGACCACCTCCGCACAGGGCGCGCTTCTTGCTGCCGAGGTCGTGTCCTACCTCCCCGGACCCCCGGCGTCATGGCTTTTGTCATAACGTCGACCCCCGGAAATCCCGACCCTGTCCCCAAAGACCGGTGTCTCGTCCCGAGTCGTCTTTTTGTTGACGGTCCTGAGGCCCGGCAAGGGCCTCCCGAGGCCAAAAATCCGCCAGCCCCCTCGTGGGGCCACCAGGCTGTAGGGCGAAGGTTCGCGGTTTCCTGTACCAGTTGCATCTTCCAGTTTCCACTGTTACAGTTCTGCTTCTTGCTGCTTACTTTTCCTCGTTACAGTTCTGCTTCTTGCTGCTCACTGTTCCTTGTTGATGGACCGCGCGAAGGGGGGAGGCCCAAAACGGACATTGTTACCACGGCCAAAACGCATGCTCTGAATTGCTGGGGTCCGTAAAATTTACACCCCTCACGCAGATCGGCGGGGTCAGGGTGCAAAACCACATGGGATTTGCCACATGTCTGAAATTCAGTGGTACCCCTCATGCAGATCGGCGGGGTCAGGGTCCGAAAACCAAGAGCATCCTCAACATTTCTGAAAATCGATGGCACCCCTCACGCAGATCGGCGGGGTCAGGGTCCAAAAACACAAAGCTTCTACCACGGGCATTTTTACCACGGCATTTTTACCAAAACGGGCATTTTTACCACGGCCAGGACGCTTCGCCAGGACGCTTCGCCACTGCTCGACGCGTCCGAACGATGCCGAGGCTTTGCTCACTGCCCAGGCCGCATCGGCCGGCCGGCCGCCACCCCGCGACCCCCGGAGGACGGCCGCGGGCCCGGGGGGCCGTCGAAGAGCGGCCCGGGGGGAAGAGAAAATGCCCTGGGGGCAGGAGGGAGGAGGGAGGGAGGAGGGAGAGGAGGAGGAGGAGGAGGAGGAGGAGGAGGAGGAGGAGGGAAAGGAGGAAGAGGAGGAGGAGGAGGAGGAGGAAGAGGAGGAGGGAAAGGAGGAAGAGGAGAAGAGGGAGGAGGAGGAGGAGGAGGAGGAGGAGGAGGAGGAGGAGGAGGAGGAGGAGTCAGACCTGAGGGCGTGCCCGACCTGCGTAGAAGAGACCGAGGCGCTGGACGATTGGGATCGTGGGTCGAAAACACGGGCTCCTCTGCACAGAGTCCCAGTCCCGCTCAGACGCCCGATGCCAAGAGCAAAAAAGACGAAGCCAGGACGAGGATCAATTCGGGTGAGGATGAACGGAAATTTTCTGAGAGCCCGCGGCTCTGGAGGATGCATTTGGCGTCGCGGCATTCTCCGAGCGAACGGACTTATCTCGTCCAAGCCCCGTCCGAGAGCAGTCCGATGCCGGCGACCCCCAGCTCGAAGACCACGAGTGATGGGCAACGATAGGGGGAGACTGGCAAAGGGGGGTATGCATCGACCTGGAATCGGCGATACATCGCCGATGAATCGGCGATGGGCCTCTGATCGTGAATCCGCATCTTCCTGGGCAGGTTTGGGGTCGATGCATCCCCCCCAATGCCTACAGTGCGGGCGGGGCCGCAAGAAACCCTCGCAAAAAACCCAACCCTGAGAACCCCTGCGCGAGGTGCACCTGAGGGAAAACCCGGAGCACCCTGGACGCAGCAGCTCCTTCAACGGCTGCGGGAAGTCACCGCGCAGCGCGAGGAGCGAAGAAATCCAGGATACCCTGACGAAAAGCATGTGGCTTCTTGATGCGCACCCCCCCTGTATCCATCGTTATGTTGCTCCCATCGTACAAAAGGACCACATGCCAGAAGTAATTTCGAGCACCCGGGAAAGTGTCGAAAGAGTGTCGAAAGAGTGTCGATACAGTGTCGGACGAATGTCCCCCCGGGCCCGACACGTGAGAACCCTCGAGTTTTGGAATTCTCCTGGTGCTCGAAATTCTTCCTTGGTGATCAAGGCTGAAATATGGGTTGGAACATCATAGCCCTGTCGCTGCCCCTGAAGGAGGGTGGCCGTCCAGAGCCGGGGGGCCACTCTCGGCCCCCGTGCCGGCCGTGCTCTCCCCGCCCAGGGAGCCCTCGGCCCGCACGCGGGCAGCCGACGATACCGTACAGGGCAGTCTTTGATACACAGGGTTTCTAATATATATATATATATATACACAGGATTTCTAATACATGACTGCTTTATGAATAAATGTATGCATGAACTCATCGTTGTTTTTAATACCAAATCCCTGCATTTTCAATGCATGATCCGCACGCGGAGCATGTATTACAAACGGCACTGTAGGGGCGCGACCACAAGGGACCGTCCACAAGAAACCCAACCCTGACACCCCAGGACGTCCCCTGATTTCTGTGTGTGGGAGCCTCGCGCTTTCCACCGCGGAACAATCGAAGCCCGAGACACCCAGGGCACCCTGGAGGCGAGCAGGGTCTCCCTTGGCACGGGCCTCCACTGTATGGCGCTTCCGTGCGCGGCCCAAGGGGTCCCGACCCCTGCCCCTGGGGCCCACATTTCGCCCTGGACCCCTCTGCGTGGTGGTCCCTGGGGCCCGACGGACCGAAATCGGGGGAGCACGCCCAGATGAAAACAGATCACATCGCCAGAGATCCGGCAACCTGGTCGTGCAGGCGATCCCAACATCGAATCGAGAAGTCGGACCGGCGATCGCCCTGAATCGGATCGGCGGACATCGGCACCCGAGTCGGGAGAGGTCGAACCGGCGGAAATCCGCACCCAAGTCGGGAGAAGTCGAGATCGAATCGAACCGGAGGAACCGAAGAGAGCCCCGGTCGTGGCCACGGGGGCCTCCCCGCGCAAAAAAGGCTCAGGGGCGCAGGAAGCCCGGGGAGGCAGCAGGACCCTGCTGCTAAGTCGGGCCTGTCCCCCATACAGGAGGATTTTGAGCGAAAGATAAAACATAGTCAACCAATGCCCTAAAATACACAGAAGTGGTAAAAAATCGTCCCAAGACTGTGTTTTGACCATCTTTGTATATGTTCCTCCCGTAGGGGGACAGGCCCGCGACTTAACCCCGCTGGCATCGGCACGCTCCCGCCAGCTGGAGGCTCCAGGCCCTCCCCCCCTCTGCGCGGGGCGCCGCGGGGGCCAGCCTGAGGTGCGCAGGATTGTGGTGCGCATCTTGCTCTTGGCCAGGAGCTTCTCCATCAAGTACTTGATCTGAGGGCGCGGGGCGGAGTGAGGCGGGGCCAGGACCGGGACAGCGTCGGACCAGGATGTGTCGGGGATCTGTGAGATCCCGAAGCTCCGGAGGATGTGTCAGCCGCCGCGGCCACTCCACGGCGCTCCGGAAAGCTCCGAGATCGTTGCGGAACGCCCTGGAACGATTCATACCAGTCCGTGGGGCCGCCCCACGGAAGAAGGGCAGGGGCTCTTCTCGCGAGGCCCACGAACAGAGGTCGACACATCAAGGTGTTGCGTCTTGCTGCTGCTGTATTGCTTCTGTTGGCCAAGGCCCGAACCGCGCTCTTCAGAGATTGCCTGAGCTCTTGACGCCGATCTCTTGGTCCTAATATGTGGAAGGCGCGGGAGAACAACTCGCATGTACATACAGGGCAATTTTAATACATCGGGATGTTGAAATATATGATTTTGATACATGATTAATGTATGAATGCATATACGCATGAACTCATCGTTGTTTTAAATACTAAATGCCTGCATTTGTTATTCATGATCCGCACGCGGAGCATGTATTAAAAACGGCTGTGTAAGTGAATGCCTGCTCCTCCTCGACTGACGTCGCACCCGACGACATGAGTTCATGTCAAAGGGGACCCCCAAAAGTTTCAGGGGCGGCCCAGAGGGGGGCGTCCAAGAGGGGGGGGGCGGCATGCGCGCGGCCCAGGGGGGGGGGCCAGGGACTAATGAAATAAGAAGAGGCGCCATGAACTCTGAGGAAATGGCATGGCCCACGCCATGACATCCACCGCCCCCCCAGTCATCCCCCCCCCTCTTTGTCGCCCCCCAAAGTTTAGACACCCTCCCTGGCACCGGCTTTCCATCTCGGGTCGCAGTCTGACGGCCTGGGGGCCCAGCAGAGCCCCCAGAGGCCGACTGCCGAACATCTCCCGTCGCACCGTTCGGTTACTAGCCAAGAGGACATGGGAACGCCTCAGACGGTGGCAGGACTGGGTTGGGTGGAACCTTGTTGACGGATTTGTGCCTGGGAACGCTCCCCAGCCGCACTCCACTGAGCGGAACTGACGCCACCCTCGCAGATCCAGGCGAGACCTCGTGCCTTCCCGAGGGGCTGCGATCTGCGCAACGGTCGCCAGTTCCGTGGGCTTCTGGGAGGCCAAGCGCAGGGGTGTCATCTGCGCGGACATTTCTAGGCGCTTGTGTCGCTTTCATTGAACATTGCGTCTCTGGGCATATTTCCATCCGCATACGGCAGGTTCATGTCGTGCCGACTTCGGCATTGGGTACTGACACCGCGGGGATCGTTCAATCGTGAACGATCGGCAGCTTCCGAAACGTCAGACCATTCAACATCGATCGATTCTGGGTCGCCGACGCCATCAGACAGTGAACTCCGGCGGCGGGGTCGTGACCGTCGACACGTCGCGAACCTACCCGTATGGTTAAGTCGGGCCTGTCCCCCTACAGGGGGATTTTCGACGAAGAATAATTATACCCCACAAATAATCAACACATAGTCCAAACACCTGGATACTATTTTTTGATTTGTTTGACCTTTTGGATATGTTTGTGATATTTTTTATTTTTCGTCGAAAATCCCCCTGTACGGGGAGACGCCCGACATAACCGTATGGTCACGTGTTGCAGATGGGCTGGGGGGGTCTCGGGCAGTTGGCCCAAAAAAGTGCCCAGGTGCCCGAGAGGGGCTGGAGGAACAGGCACGGAGGAAGGACCCCAGGAACAACCACAACTCGTTTCGATCCCGAGCTGCCTCTCCTTCGAGCGTCCCGGCTGTGCTACTTTCCTTCGAGGGTCGATGCCTGATCACACTACCCTTCGAAGGCCGACGCCGTCGGGGCAGCAGAGGGACACCATGGGGCCAAAGTGGGCCGCTGGATCACACACACACACACACACGCACTCACCATCAGAGTGAGGGGGCCGAGCGGTCATTCACTGTCCCTGGGTGCGCGGCTGAAGTGGGCGTCCGCGGTTCGGATTGGTGTTGTTGTGGATGTTGTTGTTGTTGTTGTTGTTGGTGGTGGTGGTGGTGGTGGTGGTGGTGGTGTTGCTGCTGCTGTTGCTGGCGTTGTTGTTGTTGCTGGTGGTGTTGGTGTTGGTGTTGGTGATGGTGTGTGGTGTTGATGGTGTTGTTGGTGGTGGTGCTGTTGGTATTGTCGTTGTTGGTGTTGTAGTTGTTGTTGGTGTCGGTGTATGTGTTGGTGGTGGTATTGTTGATGTTGCTGCAATTGTTGTTGCCGTTGTTGTGGTATTTGCGTTGGTTGCAGGTTGTTGGTGTTGTTGGTGCTGTTGTTGTGGTTGTGGTTGTGGTGGTCGTGGTTGTTGTAGTTGTTGTGGTGGTTGGTGTTGGTGCTGTTGTTATTGTGGTTGTGGTTGATGTTGTGGTTGTTGTTGGTGATATGATTGTTGCAGCTGTGGTTGTTGTTGTTGTTGATGTTGTTGGTGGTGTTGTGATTTGTTTTGTTGTTCGATGTCGCCGTCCCGCCGCGACCTGGCCCGCGACCCACTCCGCGACCAGCCCGCGACCCGCCCGCGACCCACCTCGCGACCCAGCCCGCGACCCGCCCGCGACCGACCCGCGAGCCACCTTGCGACCCAGCCCGCGACCCGCCCGCGACCGACCCGCGATCCAACCGCGACCTGCCCGCGACCCACCCGCGATCCACCCGCGCCCCACCCGCGACCCACCCGTGACCCACCCGCGGCCCATCCGCGACCCACCCGCGACCCACCCGCGACCCACCCGCGACCCACCCACAATCCACCCGCGGCCCACCCGCTACGTGCCGGCGACCCACCTGCGACCCACCCCCTCGCTTTGCTCCGCAACTGCGGGGTGCTACAAATGCTTGTGCCTCCACAGGCGAGGTAACGGTATCGTTGCGAGCGACAGCAAGGGGCACGAATTGCCGTCAACATCTCCACCAGGCGGTGCGGGTTGGGGACAGCACAGGGTGCGAGTTGGCGCGCGGAGATTACGGTGCGAACGCAGCCGCAAGAAACCCTCGCAAGAAACCCTCGTTTTTTTCACGCTCGCGAAATTCCCGGGGCAGCAGGGCATAAGAGAACGCGTCCGCGACAGCCCAAAACACCTCATTCGGAGGAGGAAGAAGAGGAGGAGGAGGAGGAAATCGCCAGCATTGCGATGCAACGCAAGCTCCCGGGGCACTACCCGCAGCAAACGCGGGCAAGGACCCTCACCCGGAGCGCGGCCAAACGCTCGGCAGCCGGCGGCGCCGACGACGGCCGCAGGGAGGCGGCCCGCGCCGCGCATATAGCCTGCGTGGCAGCCGCGTCCGCGGCTGCGCGGCCAGCTGACGCCGCGCGCGCTGCGGCGACGCGTTCCTTGCCGCTGGCCCGCAACGCTGCGCGGGGCCGCGCCACGAGCCCATGAGCCGCAGCGCTGGCGGCTGCGCTGGAGTCTCCGGCGGCGCCGGGGCGGCAGCAGCGCGAGGCCTTGTCCGCTGCCGCCGCACGCCATTAGAATCGCGCACCATGACCCGTTTCAAGGCGCCTCCTGGTCCGCACAGGATGCGTTTGTAGTGATTCGCAATGTACGTCACGGCTCCCAAGACCGCAGACTCTTGCGCGACGAGCCTTTCTGCGATGGCAAGCCGCGCCGAGGCTGGACCGCACGGCGGCGGGCAGCCGGCAGCAACTTTGGCCAGGCCGTTCACCAAACGATTGGCTCTCCAATCGATCGCCGTGACCACGTGCTCGTCAGACCCCATTGCCACGCCAGTGACGGACTGGTAGCAGTGAGCAGGCGTCCGCGTAAGCTTGCCAGTAGTGACAAGCTCTGAAATGTCACCGTCGACGAGGGTGGATACACGAGACCGCACCTGCGCAAACATACGCGTGGGTTGCGTGGCCTGCGCCGTCCCAGCAGCAACAGCCCTGAGGAGCGCCCGCCAGTCGGTGCGAATGGTCGGCGGCCTGCAAGCCTGGACGGCTTGGAGTACACGCGTGTACCATTATCAAAGAAATAACGTACGTATTCGCGGCGATGCTACGTGTCGATGCGGATGCCGAGTGCTTCTGGTCCAGAAAAAGACAATGCAGGACAATGGCGTCGAAAAACAGACTGCTAAAAAGGGAACAGCCGGCTGCTAAACAGGAAGCCAGCGGGCTCGAAGATGGCATGCCAGCTGGCAGCGCAATCAGCGAGCCAGTGACAGCAACTGTGTAACCAAGCAAGACCAGGAACTGCGATGGCCAAATGGTGCTGTTCGCCATGATATGTAGGCGTGTGCCCAATTCACCTGGGATTCGGCTGAGCAACGCACCTAGGTCAAACTCCTGCAAGCGCTCGCTTGTTCTGACCAGCATCATTAGTCCAGACATTCAGCACCAACACAACAACCAACAATAGTAGCGACGTTACTATTGAAGCGCCGGCGACACCCCATGTCATAGTGCGAAGCCCCGAGCCAAAAGCCCCATCACGATGATATTGAGAATAATCGCGGTTGCTGATGCTGGAATCAGACTAGCACTCTGGCTATCTGGCTAGCTAACTGGCTTTGACGACCAGGTAACCTCTCGAATGGGTAATCACGGCGCAAAATGAAAGTGTTAAATTGTGGCATATAAGACCAATCCTTGAATCAAAAATCGTTAAGGAATACCGCATCGCTCGCCAATGACATTGAGACGCCACAAAGGCGTGCTTCCGCCACCGTGCCCTGAGGCATGAGTTGGAGTGTCCTCAGGTAAACGCTGCAAAGAAGCAGGCGTGCTGGTGGCCTTGCCTCTGCCGACGCGCCAGTGGCGCGAAGCCTCTGATTCAGGTCCAGAGTGTCCTCAGGTCCTTGGCCTAATCCCTTAAGCCTCAGTCCTGAATCCGGGGTATTCCTTCAAGGGCCCAGACCCGACGACTCCAAACCTTCAAGGGCATGCCCTCTGGGGCGCGTGCCCCTCCGGGGCCCTCCGCGGCTTCTCGCGCGATCTGTGCCGGGCCCGCGAGTGCCCGAAGACGGGCCAAGAGGGCCACAAGAGGCCGCCAACACAGAACAAGCGATACAATGCCAAAAACGAGGTGGGTCCGATTGCGCGCAGCCCCCTGCGCGCATTCCGAAATGATGTCAAGATCCTTTGCCCTGGACGCATTTCATGATCCGCCACCGTGCCTTGTGCACGTTGAGGCGTCAAAGAATGCCAACGGCTGTCTGCTAGGGTTCCTGTATTCGAAATAGACCCCCCCCCTACCCCTCCCTGCATACATCGCGCCCCCCCCTCCCCTCCCTCCCGTGGCCACGGTCCTCCGTAAACAACGGAACATCCCTCCCTCCCCCCCTCCCTCCCTCCCCATCTCTCCCCTCCCATCCCTCCCCCCCCTCCCCTCCCCTCCCCTCCCTCCCTCCCCTCCCTTGAGGCGTCTCCCTGCATACATCGGCCCCCCCCCCCTCCCTCCCGTGGCCACGGTCCTCCGTAAACAACGGAACACGGATCCGCGCTCCCGAGACCACGACCTCTCGTAACACCTACTAGAGTCCGCGTCCCAAGCTTCCGAGGCGGTCCATGCAGACAGCCAAGAATACCAATACGGCTCAGGGTGCCTCGAAGACGGCCCAAGGTGGCCCCAAGGCGGCCCAACGTGGCCCCTATGGCGGCCCAAAAATGGCCCAAGGTGGCCCCAAGGCGGCCCAAGATGGCCTCAAGATGCCCAACGTATTGACTCCCCGTGGTTGTTTGCATGTTTGCATTCGTGCCGTGTCGGGCTGCCGTTCGCTCACGACGGTCCCAGAAGCCTCCACCATGGCCCCAAGCCGGCCCAGGCGGCCCCCATGAAGGTCCCAGGATGGCCAAAGAAGTCCAACGATGGCCCAAGAGGCATCCAAAATGATTTCACGACAGCCCAAGAGAACCTTCCGTGGGACCAAAAACGGCCTCGGACGGCCGTTCGACAACCCAAGACGGCACTACGACGGCACGACGGCCCCCAGACACCCACCACAGAGTCAAGAGGGCCCCAAGACGGCCCAAGTGAGCCCAAAGGCGGCGTAAGAGGGCCCCAAGTGACCAATGTGACCCCTTAGACTGCCATACAGGATATCAAGGCAGCCCCAAGACGGATTAAACGAGCTCCATGAGAGCACCTCAAATACCGACGGAAGATGTCACATGTGACGGTCTGCCTATTCCTCCTCCTCCTCCTCCTCCTGCTGCTGCTGCTGCTCAGTATCCTCTGCCCTCTTCAACATCACCACCACCACCATCACCATCACCATCTTCATCAGCATCATCATCACCATCATCATCAGCATCATCATCATCATCATCAGCAGCAGCATCGGCGAAATCATCAGCACCATCATCATCACCATCAGCAGCATCAGCATCATCATCAGCATACTCAGCAGCAGCTGCATCCCTTCTCTCACCCTAATTCCCAACACCCCCATCATCAGCATCATCATCATCAGCAGCAGCAGCAGCATCAGCATCATCATCGTCAGCACCATCATCAGCATCATCATCGGAATCGTCATCGGCCACATTATCGCCATCAGCATCAGCAGTATATTCATCATCATCAGCATCAGCAGCATCAGCATCAGCATCATCAGCATCATCAGCAGCATCATCAGCATCATCATCAGCATCATCATCACCATCATCAGCATCGACATCACCACAATCAACCTCTGCAACCTCATCATCATGGGCAGCAGCATTACCGCAGTCATCGTACACACCATCGCCACCACAGCCACACTCAGCGTCAGCATCATCACTGTCATCACCATCATCATCATCATCAGCATCAGCATCATTATCATCATCAGCATCATCATCATCATCAGCAGCATCATCATGAGCATCAATACCAACATCGTCATAAGCCTCGTCACCGTCGTAATCATCGTCAACCTCATCAACATTATCACGGTCGTCATCTTAATCATCATCGGCAGCATCAGTGCCACCATACTGATCGACATAATAACAATCGCCATCATCGTAATCAGCATAAGCAGCAGCCTCACCATGAGTATACTTCCCAGTATCATCACCACCAGTAGCATCCGCATCATAACCATTACAGTCACCATCAGCAGCATCATCCCCATCAACAGCACCATGATGAGCATAAGCCTCAACATAAGAATGAGTAATATCGTCATCACCATCGTCATCATCATTAGCCGACGCATCATCATCACCATCTTCCTCCTCCTCATAATAAGAATGATCGGCATCATGATAATCATCACCTTCATCACCATCAGCATGATCGTCATCATGGTCGTTATCATGATCGGCACCATCAGCAACAACAACGACAACAGCACACCAACAACACCAACAACAACAACCACCACAACAACAAGCTGAATACCATCAACATCCCCAACATCATTCCACTAACGGCTCTTCAAACCCTGGAGTTACCAAGTGTCACACGGGACGGCCTCCCGTGACCCCCTCGAACAATCGCCACCCAGAATGCTGGCCTGACACGGTGGCAGGACTTGCCGCAGGCAGCTGGGTATAGCCCTTGATTTTTGTGCAGCGAGGAATATAATGAAGCAGTCTCAATTGATTCGTGCATTTTGCATTCATTGTGTAGCACGTCCTGTTCGGCGGCCCCCGGCTGCAACCGCTTGCCTGGCCGCCGGGATGTGGGTCTAGCCAGCTCGTCTGGCCAGCCTGACCCTCTCCTTGTCGCCGAGCACTCCGACATCATGTCCGCCACCGTGCCTCGAGGCACGAGTTGGATTGTCCTCAGGCCCCGTAGATGTCTTCTGCATTGGGTAGGAGGAGGAGGAGGAGGAGGAGAGGAGGAGGAGGAGGAGGAGGGGGAGGGGGAGGGGGAGGAGGAGCAGGAGGAGGAGGAGGAGGAGGAGGAGGAGGAGGAGGAGGTGCTGTCCACACTCTGTTGAGGGGCCCGGGCCCGACATCCAGGCGCTCCTGGGGCGTGGCGCGGGCTGCCGCAAGACCTCTTCTCCTAGGGTTTTTTTCGCGCGGCGTTTGCTGAGGAGGGCCCGCGGCAGCCCCCTGGAGAGTCCAAGACTACAGGCAAAAAGTGCATACAGGGCAGTTTGTAAGAGATCGTTTTTTTTCCAAAATACATGAATAATCTATGAATAAATTTATGCATGAACGCATCGTTGTTTTTAGTACTAAATCCCTGTATTATTCAAGACGGCAGTGTAACTACAAACTTTCGGAGGTTCGCCTGGATTTCTTGGATCGCCGCTGGGCCCCCAGCACTGGCGGCGCGTGGAGCGCGCCGGGGGCGGTGCTGCAGGCGCCGCCAGGGGGCTGCAACGCCGACCAGAGAAATCCGCGAGGACAATTGACAGTAGTTTCTACGTTTACGCAAATGTTTGTTCCCCGAAAAGAGGGCCCCGAGACGGCCCAAGAGCGCTCCAAGACGCCCAACAAGGCCCCAAGACAGCCCAAGAGACCCCGAAACACCCTAAGAGGGCCCAAAGAGGCCGCCCAAGAAAGGATAGCGAGTAGCTTTGCCATTGGGTTTGACAAAGCTTAGCGTTCTCGCATTGTCGAGCTTCCAAGACGGCCCAAGAAGGGCTTAAGACGGCCCCAAGACGGCCCAGGAGGACCCCACGACGCCACCAAGACGGCACCAAGGGGGGCACAACCCATCGGATGGACTCGGTGACGGCCACCTTAGTAGCCCGTCCTGTCGCCCCCACGCTCGCCACCGACCTCAACCCAGTATGCTCCTCCTCCACATCCGCCCCATCTGCCCTCGTCTACCTCCATCCCCATGTCCTCGTCCTCGTCTTCCGCATCGCTCACCTCCAGGATCCCCTCAAGCTAGCGGCCTGCATCAGGGGCACATTCTGATACTTGTCGCAGTCCTTGATGCTCATGAACACGTACCTTGGGTAATGCCAAGGTCATCAGAACGATTGCAAGCACCATGGGAATGGCCATCGCGACATACTTGACCATCAAATCAACGCACGGGCGATGCCCATGCGTTCACTCGAGGGCCTGGTGCCGTCAGAACTCGGCTGAGCATCGCGTTGCCTCTGAAAGGTCGGACGCAGCCCATCCGATTCGCAGCCCGATCCAGCCACCGGCGGAAACCATCACTGGCAAATGAGCTCGCTGCGTGATGGTATGGCAGCACTGTTCGACTAGCTCATCTTGTTGGGCACCACACTCGGGGAACGAATCGCAGGAGAATGCCAAGGCCAAGATATACCAAACAAACAGGATCTCTGCCACTCAACGTGACCACCCTGGTCGCACTCTGGGCTAACCGCTTTCTGAAGGCATCGAACCACAAGCAGAATGTGCCGACGCCACTCGCTTTGGATACAACCCCAAAACGAGAGGAACTGGTGCTGGACCGTGCGATTGGGCAGTCGTTGTGCCTCCGACACGGACCGCCACCTGCAGCCATCGTGCTGCCATAGAGAACACCAGAGCAGGAACGGTGGGGCTGCCCTGGCCACGACGAGCCTCGGCCGCGAACATATTCCTCGACCCAGATACCAAAATCTCCTCCAGGAACGGCCTCCTCCTCCTCCTCCTCCTCCTCCTCCTCCTCCTCCCTCCTCCTCCTCCTCCTCTTACTCTTCCTCCTCCTCCTCCTCCTCCTCCTCCTCCTCCTCCTCCTCCTCCTCTTACTCTTCCTCCTCCTCCTCCTCCTCCTCCTCCTTCTCCTCCTCCTCCTCCTCCGTCGCCTCCGGCCTTCTCTCAGCGTCTTGGCTGTGCGGCGACTGCTCGAGCGCGGTCGCTGCAAAAACGGTGCCCCGCAAGTCCAACCGCCACGAGGAGATGTGCGAGCGCATGCCCGCCGTGCCAGCACCCTGTTGAGCCTGGATTCCGAAAGGGCCGCGGCAGCGATGTCAAGCCGGATCTCGATCGGATCGAAGTCGACCTGGGGCGAGGAGGCCCTGCTGCCGCTCGGGGAACTCTTCGGGCCATGGCCACCTGCTCGGTCTCTCGGGAGCGCGCGAACATGGATTAACGATCCACGGATTTGGCGCGCGGTCGTCAGATGCATCATCCGGGGAGGTGCCCTCCCCAAAATTTCGGCCGTTGCCGCCACGTCCGGCTGCGGAAATCCGCAGTTTCCCACGGCAACGGGACCCGTCGCCCTTCCACGCCCCCCCTTGATCCATGTTCGCGATCGCCCGAGTCTCTGCGGCTCTCCCTGCCCGGGCAATGCAGGCTCATCTGGACCCGAGCGAACCGGCATCGCGATCTGGGCCAAGGATCTCTGCGACCGCCGACCTGAGGGGCAACGTCTGGGGGTGAAACATTGAGCTGGAATCGGCGATGCATCGCCGCCGTATCGGCGGTAGCCCCCGATAGCGAAATCGCACGTTCCTCGGCGACGTGGATTATCAGGCCCCTATCGGCAATGAATGGGCGGGTGGGGGTCGACACGTCAACTCCCCCCGCGGTGACCTATTCTAAGCCGCTTGAAGCGAAAAGTTCTTATGTCCCAGGGCCTTCCTTTGCTTTGGGGCAGGAGAACTGATGTGGCAGCTGACGCGGTTCTCTACTTTTTCCTCCTTCTCTGGGCTCTCTACATGCTTCTCCATCTTTCTCTTGCATGGTCCCAAGAGGGCCCCTAGGTTTCCAAAAGGGCCCCAAGGGGCGCCCAAGGGGCTCCAAGAAAAATCCAAAGAGGCTTCCAACGACTCTCAAGCGGTCTCAAAGAGGCCCTTCAGAGGACTCAAGAGCCTCGCCCCCCCCCCAGGGGCAGCCAAGACGCTTCAAGAGGCTCCCGGGACTGTCAAGAGACGCCCAAGACGCCCCAAGAGGCCTCCAAGAAGCGACCAAGAGGGGCCCCTGAGGGCTCCAAGAGGCGATTTTAACGGTCCCAGAGGAGGGGCTGAAATCCCCACAGCCTTTTAGGGCGTGAGTGGTTTTGATACCCCCCACTTCCAACCCCCTTGTTCCTCTTCGGTACCCCCTGGACCTGGACGAGGCCTTTCGCGAGCTGTCAGAGCGTCCAAGATGGCCCAAAATGGCTCCAAGAAGGCCCCGAACAGCTAAAGATGGCCTCCAAGATCGCTGAAGATAGCCCAGAAGATAGCCCCGCATGGCCAAATATAGCTTGCAATAGACCTCCAAGAGGCTTCAAGATCCCTCCAAGACGGCTCCAAGTGGCCAAAGGGCCTCCCAAGGACGCCCTAGAAAGGCCAACAACCGTCCAAAACCCAAGAGAAATCTGTGTTTTTGTTTGCCTTCTCGCCTTTTCGCTTCGGGTGGACTTCTGAAGCCTCAAAATGGCTCCAGGATGGACCCAGAGATCCCGAAGAGGGGTCCAAGAGGGGTCCAAGAGAGGCCCAAGACGGCCCCAAGAGCGCCCAAGACCGCCCCAAGAGCGTCCCAAGAGAGCTCCAAGAGGCGATTTGAAGGGCTCTGACGGAGAAATCCAAATTGACCCCGCCTTCTCTGTTGGTCGATGGCCTCCAAGATGGCCCATGGGAGGGTCAAGAGGGGCCCCAGATGGCTCCAAGATGGCTTCAAGAGCGCCCCGAGAGGCCCCCAAAAGGCCCGAACCCTTCTAAAACCTTCATTCGCTGGCCAAACGTGACAGAAGCGTGCTAGAATCTACGGTAACTGGTAAACGATGTTTCTAGTTCGCGCGCGCGGACCGGCCCATGAAGTCCCCGGACGATAAATACCCCAGCAAAGATGCGGTTTTCCGGACCCCCAGAGCGCTCCAAGACGGCCTCGAGAGGCCCCTAAGATAGTCAAAGAGGGCTCCGAGTCGCTGACCGATCGGTCCAAGACGTCCGAGATAGCCTCCAGACGGAACTCCATAAATCGCTCTCGCCTCGCACGCGGAATCGAAAGCTGAAGCTAGAACGGCAAAGCTACAATGCACAAACAAATTTCAATGCACAACAAAAAACGCAATGCGACACAAAAAAAATACTTCCGATCATGGTGGTTGGCGCCGTGGGCTTCAGACCCTCCCTGGCCCTCCCCAAACCGCTCTCGCCTCGCGCGCGAAATCAAAAGCTGAAGATAGAGCGGAAAAGCTGCAATGCAACAAAAAACTGCAATGCAAACAAAAACTGCAATGCAAAAACAACTGTAACTCTGATCATGGTGGTTGGCGCCGTGGACTTCAGACCCCCCCTGGACCTCCCACGAAACCGCTCTCGCCTCGCACGCGGAACCCAAAGCTGAAGCTAGAACGGCAAAGCTGCAATGTAAAAAAAAACGCAATGCAACAAAACAACTGTACTCCTGATCATGGTGGTTGGCGCCGTGGGCTTCAGACCCTTCCTGGACCTCCCCAAACCGCTTTCGCCTCGCACGCGGAATACAAAGCGGAAGCTAGAGCGGCAAAGCTGCAAAACTGCAATGCAACAAAAACTGCAATGCACAAAAAACAACGGTAATTCTAATCATGGTCGTTGGCGCCATGGACCTCAGACCCTCCCTAGACCTTCCCAAACCGCTCTCGCCTCGCACGCGGAATCCAAAGCGGAAGCTAGAGCGGCAAAGCTGCAATGCAAACAAAAACTGCAATGCACAAAAAACTGCAATGCAAAAAAAATGCATTCCGGTCGTCGTGGTGGTTGGCGCTGCCTCGCCAGACCTGCCCCAAACCACTCCCGCCTGGATCTTAAGCTAAGGCTGCAAGACGAAGCCCAAACCAGACCAACCAGACCCGGCAGGCCAGAACCAGACTTGTTCTCTGTAAGCGTGGCGTCCCGCCGTGCGCTGCACGGCTAATAACTTGATCCCCCCACAACGCTGTACCTGACGACCCTCTGTCCCAACCCGTGCGAGCGTCGGGCCAGAAGAGCCGCGCTCGGATGTGCCCACGGCGCACAACGGACGCCCTGCACGTCCAGCCAGGCCCACGTGCGGGTGCGTGCAGCCGTGCGGCGGGGGCCGCGGAGGGGTAAGGACGCCGCTACAGCATCGCACACACCACCCTGCGACGAATCAATTGCGTGAAAAAAAGGGCCTCGACCACGTGGAGGGCGACGCTGGCACAGACGGGAATGTGAAGGGGGCTGATGGATCCGCAGACATTCACAGACACCTGCGCAAGAATCTCTCTACTCAAGCGTAGTATTCAATAACAGCGCAGACCGTTCCCCGCATGATACAGGAGGCGAGTCGCGAACCCATCCTCCATGTCAGGTGCTTGTTTCATTCAAAGTGGCCGAGAGGTAGCTCCAACATGGCCAAGTCTTCTGCAATGATAGGAAGCGTGTGACTGTAACCTGAACTTAATCAACCCTGGCAACAGCTTCTACTGGATGTTCCCTCGGCTCCAAAACTGATCCGTTGTGTAGCTATGCGCACGAATCGAAGTGGAGAAATAAGAACGTGGCAAGCGGACAAACTGCAAACAGCTAATGCTCAAATGCAAACGCACCATCACGTGTGTGACCAAATGGGTTGTGGCGTGTCGCCAGGAGAGATAGCAGCGGCAAGGCCGAGATACATGCGGATCAAGACAGGCTGCAATTATGTACGCATGGGGTGCCGCTGAACTTCCATCTGCTCGCAGCACTGGACGAAAGCCAACTTGCCCTCCCAGTCTGTCTCATAGATCGACTCCTGCAATACCCAACAATACCGGCCAATACGCGGCAGCAACGCGGGGCCGAATACCGCGGATCATAGTACACTCGCTTTGCCATTGCTGCTGCACGCGCGTGTAGAGTCTGGCCGATGAGTTGAGAGGAGATCTGCCCGCTCCATCGCAACGACTCGTCAAGCATGGATCTCACCACACGAGCACACGCGTGCACAGAACTCCCGCGCATTACTAAACTACGCCGATTCCCTTCCCGAGAATCCTTCTCTCGTCGAGCAGCCTTCCAATCCAATGTGATGTGATCGGTGCAGCTTCACTTCAGAACCACAACCAACATGTTCCCCCGCGCTTCCACCTGACCTCTGCCTGCTCAACCTTCTCCTCCCGTGCTCTCGTGCCACCACTGACCTGAGGCTGGCAATGCGCCTTGAGCACGTCGTGAGATGCCCCAGGACTCACACAGCTACGAGCGCTGGCCGTACTGGGGCCATGCCGGAGAATTCTTGGGCGATCTTTGGGGTCTCCTGGGCCGTCTCGACGCCAAGTGTGAAAATCCGTCAAACACTTAAGGAACATCAATGACGTTGGCCTCTTCCGACCTCACGAGGACCGCAAGAATCTCGAGGGGATCGCAGCCCCGAGCTGCTGGAAATCCCAGGCGCTCTCGGGGCGCGCCGCACGGGTCTCCCGAGGCTCAGGACGGTGCTGCAGGCAAGAAGGCCCCGGCAAGGCTCCCAGCCCCCAAGACAGGAGCAGGAGCTTCCCCAAGACCCCTCGGCGGACCCCGAGTCACGGTGGCGGGAGAATCGCCAGAGGCCGACGTATGGCCAGTTCAGTACTCGACCACGCCTGGCTCAGAGGAGGGGCAGCACTCGACCTGGAATCGGCAACTCCTCGCCGACGGGTCGGCCGATAGGCCCCCGATCGCACATCCGCAGGATCCTGGGCGGGGTGGGCCATCGGGCACCTTATCAGCAGTGAATGTGCGATTGGAAATCGAGGCGTCCCCCCATGAGCCTATCCCTCCCCCAACGTTGCCCCTGACCCGAGATCCTCGTCGTCTGGCTTTCGGGTCCTAACTCGGCTCTAGGGCGGACGTGCGAGACGATCCGGATTCCACTGTAACACCCTCGGCGAGGCGCAGCTGCTGAAGACATCCCTAGGCTGGAAAGCCACCAAGGAAAGACCAAGACGTCCGAAAGCCTCAAACCTCAAACCTGAAACTTCACGTTGCCCCTGATCTGAGGGATGCACTCGCCGACGCGCCCAGACACCTCCAAGACGTCGGCCTGGCCAGCAGCTCGAGCCGAGCTCCAACGCTGCGGCGGGCGCGGGGACTTCCTGACAGGCGGCCTCCCTGGGCTCGCGACCCAGGAGTCTCTGGGGTCGCGTGCCTGGCGATCTGGAGTCGTGGAATGGGCTTTTGTGTCGCCGCTGAGATTGGACGGCGGATATTTGGGCCATGTGTATTCTCTCCGTCTCTCCTTCTTTCTCTCTCTCTCTGTCTCTCCTTCCCCCTCTCCCATAGATCCAATGTGCTGCTTCACTTACATGGGGGTCTCCGAACTTCACGACTTTGGGCCCCAAAGTCCCAACCCTTCCCAAGAGCCAGATTTTCAAACCGAAGAGCTGTTGGGCCCAACGAGGGCCCTTGGAGGCACAACGCGGCAAAAACTTTCGCATTGAACAGTTCTCAATGCGGTGGAGGTTTGGGCCTCCTTCTCTCTCTCTCTCTCTCTCCCTCTTTCCCTCTCTCTCTCTCTTTCTCTGTCTCGCCCTCTCTCTCTCTCTCTCTCTGTGTTGGGCCCCCCTGGTGGCGCGAGGGGTGAGCGACACCCTCCGCCTCGGCGTCGCCCTCGGAGTGGCCCCCACCCGGGACACCTCCCCCGCGAGTCTCCTCCGGCCGCGCGGTGGAGCAGTCGATGACGGTGTGGATGCCGATGAGAGAGGTCGGCAGGCTCTGCTTCCTTATGGAAGAAGGAATGACGTGTTAGCAAGCGTGAATCCCACACAATGTATTTCTAGAAAACTATGTTGTGTCATCTACGTTGTGCAATATATATATATATATATATATATATATATATATATATATATAGATTACAAATATCAGCTGGCCCCCTTGTGGGGCCACCAGGCTGTAGGGCGAAGGTTCGCAGTTTTCTGTACCAGTTGCAGCTTCCAGTTTCCACTGTTACAATTCTGCTTCTTGCGGCATACTGTTCATTGTTGATGGACCGCGCGAGGGGGGGGAGGCCCAAACGGGCAGGTTTAGCACGCCCTGAGCGTGTGCTCTGAATTGCTTGGGTGCGTAAAAATTACCACCCCTCACACAGATCGGCGGGGTCAGGGTCCAAAAACACATGGGATTTGCAACATTTCTGAAATTCGGTGGCACCCGTCACGCAGATCGGCGGGGTCAGGGTCCAAAAACATTGGATTTGCCACATTTCTGAAATTTGCTGGCACCCCTCACGCAGATCGGCGGGCTCAGGGTCCGAAAACATACCGGATTCGCCACATTTCTAACATTCGGTGGCACTCCTCACGCAGATCGGCAGGATCAGGGTGCAAACACACACGGGATTTGCTACATTTCTAACATTCGGTGGCACCCCTCACGCAGATCGGCGGGGTCAGGGTCCAAAAACACATGGGGTTTGCAACATTTCTGAAATTCGGTGGCACCCCTCACGCAGATCGGCGGGGTCAGGGTCCAAAAACACATGGGATTTGCAACATTTCTGAAATTCGGTGGCACCCGTCATGCAGATCGGCGGGGTCAGGGTCCAAAAACATTGGATTTGCCACATTTCTGAAATTTGCTGGCACCCCTCACGCAGATCGGCGGGCTCAAGGTCCGAAAACACACGGGATTCGCCACAGTTCTAACATTCGGTGGCACTCCTCACGCAGATCGGCAGGATCAGGGTGCAAACACACACGGGATTTGCTACATTTCTAACATTCGGTGGCACCCCTCACGCAGATCGGCGGGGTCAGGGTCCAAAAACACATGGGATTTGCAACATTTCTGAAATTCTGTGGCACCCCTCACGCAGATCGGCGGGGTCAGGGTTCAAAAGCACATGGGATTTGCCACATGTCTGAAATTGGCACCCCTCCCGCAGATCGGCGGGGGCAGGGTCCGAAAAGCCATGGGATTTGCCACATGTCTGAGATTCGGTGGCACCCTCACGCGGGTCGACAGGGTCAGGGTCAAAAAGCACATGGGATTTGCCACATGTCTGACATTCGGCGGCACCCATCACGCAGATCTGTAGGGTCAGGGTCCAAAAACACATGGAATTGGCAACATTTCTGAAATTCGGTGGCACCCCTCACGCAGATCCGTAGAGTCAGGGTCGAAAAACAAACAGGTCCCGACACTGCTTCACGGCGGCGCCCAGACCTCATGATTTAGCTTTTGCATCTCCCATTATCCGAGACAGGGGGCCGGCGGCATGGGGCGAAGCCCTTACGGATATAATCAGATTTACATATATACGTATATATGGATTCACCTCCCTTTACTGTCTAGATGTGCCCCGCTGTATGTGCATGCACAGGTGCGTGTGTACTAATGTGTATACATTATTGTGTAGGTGTGTGTGTACATGTATGTCTACATAATACAAACATGCCGGCTATATACATGAATGTGTACTTGTATACATACATACATACATACATACATGCATACATACATACATACATAAATGCATGCATGTATGTGCGGCTATGTATGCATAGGTACGTGTACATGCATATGTGCATGATTATGTATACGTGAACGTGAACACATGTATAGGTGTATGTAAATGTATATGTACATGTGTCTGCACATGTACAGAACAAGTGTGATGCCGATGTGTACGTTTACGTATGTATGTACCTCTAGGTAAACGTGCGTATGTAAACGTATGTAGTTGTGTATGTGTACATGCGTGTAGCTGCTTTATGGATATGCACGTGCGCGTGTATAATTATCGGTATGTGTAGTGTATGCGCATGTATATGACTGTGCATGTGTATGTGTACATGCATATGTATATGTACATTTGTGTACATATGTATGTATGTGTAGATGTATGTAGAGTACACATGCATGCATGTATGGACATGTACAACCTCTAAGTCCACCAGCATACGCAAACAAACCATGCAACTATATACATTTGGAAATGCACATTTGCATATGCGTGCGTGTGCGTGTGCCTGCTACTCTCCCTCTCCCTCTCTCTCTCTCTCCCTTCTCCTTTCCGCTGTCCACTTGACCAGCCAACCTGCACGCCAGCAGATGGTACGCTCCCGGCTCCGCCCTGCAAATCTGCCGCCGTCCACAGCTGCCAAGCAGCAACTTACTATATCGGCCCCTCCGCTCCTCGTCCTTCTCCGACAGATCCTCATCCTCCTCGGGCTGTTCCCCTCAATCCTCCTTGTCCTCCGCCTCCTCCTCATCATCACCATCACCAGCAGCATCAGCATCAGCATCAGCATCAACATCCGCTTCAGCAGCATAATCATCATCAACATCATCAGCATAACCAGTATCGCCACCATCACCAACACGTTATCATGATCAACATCATCACCACCACCACCACCATCATCACCAGCCTCTCCCCCATGACGCTGCATTTCTCCGCTCTGTCTCAGGCTGCTGTCCTCCCCTGCCTGGCCTACCTGTACACATCCTTCCTCCCTGCGTTGTTCTCGCTCCAGCCTCCTTCCCTCTTGCCCCCAATTCCACTCGAACGGTGCTGCATGAACGACCGTACCACCCACCCCCCGCGCGTTGTGCGTGCCAGCATGTCTGTCAGCTGCCTCCGACCCCGCAGACACGTGTTAGGGGCCACCAACCTACCTGCTTTTCCCTTTCACTCTGAATAGCCGCAGGCCGTCCCCAGAATGGCCGAAGATCGCCCCACGGCGGCAGCAGGCAGGGCAGAGTTCGCCTCGAGATCAGCCTGAGACCGAAGCCTTCCCAGAACCCCATAAAGTGCCAGAGAAGCCCTAACAGGCCCGTGTAGATTTCGAAAGGGCGCCTTCAAGAACCATCGAACAATTACAATGGGGCCAACACATTGAAACACAGTTGTGTTTCTGGAATACACGTTTATCTTCCCATGTTGTGCGTCTTCCCTTAATGCCCTGCATACTATGGCATCAGAAAGCCTTAAGAAGACCTCAAGGGGGTCCCATAGCGCCGCAGAAGCATCCCAAGCCCCAACCACAGGACGGGCAGAGAACATCCCAAAAGGGCCAACGACAAGCAAGGCCACACCAGACCGCAAACGGGCCCTCCGGAAACCCCCGACAGGCACAAAGAGGCCACCAAGACGCCCAAGAAGCCCGCGAGAAGCCTCCAAGCCGCCAAGGTCCAACGCAACAAGTATGCGACTTGCCACAACGGGGAGGGGTAGCCGCAGATAGTTGGACAGCCGAATCGAAGCGATTCGTGATGCACGGAGCTGGCGTGAGCGGCACAGTGCGGCCAGATCGTGACGATGCGCGGCAAGCCTGCAAGGCACGTGGACGCCAAAATGAAGCCGAAATGAGAAGCCCACGTCCTATAGCTAAACGATAGGATGGGCCTAGAGGCAGGGATGGAAAATTACTCACCCTTCTGATGCCGATTTACTGTACAATTCTGGGGGGGGCGGGGCGATGGGTGCCACCGTGATTCAAATGCAGTTCGCGAGTGTCCGAATGCATCCGCAGGGCCTGCTTCATGTCGGGCGTGTCCCCCAAGCCTTGCCCGATCACAAGCCTTGCCCGATCACAAGCCTACAGACCCCAAAGCCTTGCTTCATGTCGGGCGTGTCCCCCTACAGGGAGATTTTCGACGAAAAATAAGAAAATCCCCAAAAAAGATTCCAAAAACGTCAAAAAACAACTGAAGAAAAAATCCCAAAACTATTCTTGGACTATTGTTTGACTATTGTTGGGGTATTTTTTATGTTTCGTCGAAAATCCCCCTGTAGGGGGACAGGCCCGACTGAAGCCTTGCTCGACGCTCAGCCTCCCAGACCCTCCGCGAAGCCCGGTGCCCAACGCTGCCCAATCCCCTACGCTGCCCAACACTTTCAGCACGCCTCGTTTTCAGCAGAGAGAGAGCTGCAGTGAGATGCTACTGGCAGGGGGCCGCAGCTGCCGCCTCAGAAGGGAGCCCTCGACGACGGTGGCGCCCCAGTCCACCTCGGAGGCGCCCGCTTCGGAGATTCGGAGAAGGGGCCCGATGTGCAGAGACATGCATTACCAGCCTGGAACATATCCCTATCCTTATCCTGGGCACCTCCTCATCACGATGCCAATCGTAGGGATTCCCCTATTTTTGCAGGGCGAATCCCTAAGATTGTCGTCGCCTTTTGGCGTGTCAATCTTAGGGATAGGGATACGTTCGAGGCTGGTAAATGCACCATCAGAACTCAGCCGACAAAGAACGGTACAACATCAACTCGTTCTGGCCAAAGGGGCGACTGCCACGGGGCAGCTGGAAAAACTCATATCTCCGCGCGCAGCCGCTTCTCAGCCGCCCGGGAAAAGGCGCCTCCGGCGGAGGAGGAGGGCGACCAGGTAGGTGAGGAGGAGGAGGAGGAGGAGGAGGAGGAGGAGGAGGAGGAGGAGGCGTAGCAGGAGGGCGACGACGAGAACATGAGGAGGTAGCAGGGAGGCGCAAAGGAGTCCCAGAGGAGGCGGCCGGGGCGGCGGCAGCGAGGAGTGGGCGGAGGCGGCCCCAGAGGAAGCCAGGAGGCAGCGCAAGACGAGCCTCGAGGAGGAGGAGGAGGAGGAGGAGGAGGAGGCGGCGGCGGCAGCGGCGGCGGCGGCGGCAGCAGAGCAGGAGACCGCAGAGGACACAGTCAGGACCAAGCGCGCCCCCACCGCAGCGCTCGCGGAGAGCGGCGAGGTAGAGAAGGGCGTTATCAGCACGGCCTTGGGCACTCGTGCGGGCATTGCAGCGCAAAAGGCGCAGGGAAACGACAAGTTTGTCATTCCTGGTGCTGTCATAATCAAGACCCGCCAGGAAAAGGCGACCAACGCCGGGAAACGCGAAATGTATGGAAAACCCGTCAAGGTGAAGGCGAAGCTGACCAAGACTATCGGGCAGGCCTTCCCTGCGAAGGCCCTCCAGGACGAGTTCTGGGCCCCCTGGTCGGCGGCGTGCCCATATGTCTTCACCCATGGCCCATGGAGGGGTCTGGGGAGTAGCGGAATCATCCTTCCCCGAGGCTTGGTGTCACTTTATTGGTCGCTCTGCTCAATCCTGGCGGTGGCCGATTAGATTGCCACCGTGATACGAACTGGGGAACAGAAAGCGTGATAAACATAAACATTCGGAGGTCCGCGCGGTTGGATCGGCACGGGACCCCCCGCCATGGCGCGCGGAGCGCGCCGGGGGCGGCGCCGGAGGCGCTGCTAGAGGGGGACTCGACGCAGATCCAACAAATCCGCGCGGAACACCAAAGGTTTATGATCAAACCACTGCTCGCTCCTCGGGATACCCTACGCCGTTCGGCCGCTGAACAGCGAGCGCGGCAGGATGCACTCGGCTTCACGTAAGAGTGACCATGGGTAAGAGTGACCTTTGGTGCGCGGTTCCTTGGGGGCCGCGGGGGGACCAAACACAAGCGCGCAACACGCTACTATCTCGTCGCGTTCGGCGATCGGGGGAACGCCAATGGGCCCGCACCAAAGGTCACTCCGGCAAAAGGTCATTCTCACGTGCATGAGGGGGAGGGGGATGAGGAGGAGGAGGAGGAGGAGGAGGAAAGGGAGGAGGAGGAGGAGGAGGAGGAGCAGGAGGAGGAGGAAAAGGAGGCGGAGGAGGAGGCGGAGGAGGAAGAAGAAGAAGAAGAAGAAGACTCGGCATTGCGCTGCATGTCTGATGTCTCATGCCTGCTGCTGCTGATTCGATAATCTACAACAAAGAACCTCTGACAGTCGAACGAACGAGATAACACTCGAGGTCAGGGTAAAGCGCACCGTGCAGCCCAGCATTCGAACGAGTGCGAGACCGATCGCAAACAGTGAAACCCATGCGAGCGGGAGGCGAGCGACCTCTCGGGCTCCGCAGGAGCCGTACCTCCAGGACGGCGGGCCCCAGGATGGCCCCTGGAGCGCCCGAGCCCTCCCGAATTCGGGCCCACTCCCCAGCAGGCACACGACAGACGCGAGAGGAACGACGGGGCAAGAGAGGCGACAAAGAGGACGAGCAAGAACGAAGGAGGGGGCGAGGACAAAGCAGAGGGAGAACAGGCAAGCAGCAAAGCAACGGAGGGGGGAGTGGGCCCACAAAATCAAAAAACGCCACCGAACCTCAAAAAGGAAACTACACGGAGGGAAGACCAGATGGAGGACGGTGGCGGCACGGTGCCTCGAAGTACGGCGAGGCGAGGCTCATCGGGCTCAGGGGGTGGCGACGACCCCGTCGAAGAAGAAGATTTGGACTATGAACGTGTTCACTTTGAACGAGTTCACGAAATCAACATTGGTCAGGTATGTAGACGCCCATAGAGTAGTCCACCCGTCAGACCACGTCACACCGTGAACTCATAAGTAGTATGGAATAGGCGACGAGCGGCGCGGGCCTTCGAGGCAGCAAAACCTGACCCCCGCCCTGCCGCATAAGGTGGGCAAGAGCGAGCGAACTCCAACCCAAGCCCCCTGGACAGGACGAAGGGCCAGTGGCGACTCTGTGCACACCCAGCGGGCGGCGCGTTCTGACCAGCCCTGCCCACACTTATGAAGGCGCCCCCGATGAGCACGCCGCCAGTTCTCTGATACGAATCCGTTCCCGTAGTGCCCTCAAGCGAGACTCCCACGAGCTTTCCCGCGCTGATCCTTGGGCTTCGAGCGATCCAGTAGCTTCTGGGCCATCATTTCCAGGTGGCCCACCGGTGCCGCCCCTAGCTTGAGACGACCGTCGAGGTGCACCAGCGCCTTGATCGTGGCCTGCTCCAAGGACAGCTTCGTCACGGCAGGCTGGTTCTCGCCCATCCCGATCTGGAAACCCTCCGCGATGCTGAACTGCAGGCGCACGAACTTCTCGTTGTAGCATTTCCTCACTCGGAAGTGGCGAATGACCAATCCCAACTCGTCCGTCGCTGCTTTCGAGATGAACTGCTCGTAGAAAGCCTTCAAAACTTGATGCGGCTCCAGCAGCGTGCGAACCTTGTCGTCCTCGCTCAATGATTTGAACGCGGCTTGTGCGATGTGCAAATGTGGAGGGCCCACTTTCGTTTTCAGCTCCTGGATGGCGGTCACTTCGGCGTACTTTTTCCCAGCAGCCCTGGACGCGACGATGGGCGGGCACTCGACAGGGGCCACGACTGAGATCCACTCCGGCGCCGCCAGGTCCCGCAACATCTGGGCGTGCATGCACGCCATCTCCAAGAGGATGCTGACCGCTTGCTGCAGGTCCTTGGCCTTCAAGGCCCCCTCCACTTTTGCCAGCTCGTCGTCGGCGTCGTCGGCCATCGTACCAACTCGCCCTTTTTTCCTTGCCTGCCCGTCGCCGTCGGGTGGAGACTGCGCCTTTTCCTTGTGCCCCCGCAGCAGCTCGCCCAGGTTCATAGCGGCGGACATGCAGAAGCCGACGGCGAGACAGCGACGGGGCAGACAGCGAACAGTGGGAACGTATGTGAAGTTGAAGCGAATGAAGATCTCGAGCCAAGTAACTGCATACGGGGCAGGTGAGCAACGGGGGCTGGATGACTTCGCACTGCGTATACGAACTTCGACCCAGAGCACACCTGTTGCGTTGATAGGACCGCATCACGTGGCGCGCCGCGTTCTCCCGAGAGGCTAGTGCTTGCAGACACCGAAAGCATTGGTTGGTGACAGTGAGCAAGCTAGCCTCATTCCTCACAGCGTGCACCCGACCTGCATGAAGCAGCAGTTTCTTCAATGACTCGAAACGCTCCCCGCAGACCCCGCCCACCGCCGACGACAGATTGCACTGAAAGGGCCCAGACCACTCCACCTCCACGCCCACGAACTCCAGGGGGAACGGCGAGCCGAATCCAGGAGGAGGGACCGCCCTCGAGAAAGCTTTCGCCCTCAGGATCGAGAAATCGATGTCGACCCACTTGTCAAACTCTTGATCGAACAGGAGCTTCAAGAGAGGGTACCCAGACGGCAGCAAATCCTGGAGCTCCTCGGAGCCGTCGAAACCGATACGTAGATCGTCCAGAACCTGAAGGGCCCAGGGATTCGCATTTTCCGTCAGAGTCCAGGAAGACGTGATCACCTCCTCGTCGCCCAAACGCCCAAAAACACTTGCCCTCGCTTGTCGGTGTGCCTCAGGGTACCTACTCCATCTCTGATACCAACGCAACCGACGGACACGAAGTTCCTGCTCGCACGGAAGGATTCGCCAATGAGCACACATACGATCCGCCGACCAACGGCGCAGCTCCTGCTCGCCATGTTCCTCGAGGCCCAAGATACCCATTCCCCTCCTCATTGCCTGCTGTAAAACCTGATCAGCTGCAGCACAAAAACTCTTATATGGAATACGTGCCTCCATCCCCGAGAGCAGGGCCGACTGAACGAACGCGATCACCGCCATGCGCTTCGCGCTCAAGACTGCAGGGTGCCTCAGAAACAAAGAGATCTTACCGAGCCCCGCCCGTCCCGCTTGAATGCGTTTCACTTTTTCAACCTGAAGGGATCCGCTCGTGGTCAGCCACCCGCCCAAGACTCGCATGAACCTCCCCACCTTGCCTTTGGTTTTCACGGCCCCGCTGAAGATCAGACGACGTTGCCCGACAGATCCAGGACCGACGATCTTTACGAGGGAGACTCTTTTGTCAGGGTTGAGGGCGACTCCGATCTGGGCCAAGGCCCGCTGTAAGTGATCGCTGCTGACACGCGCGAGCGCCAGCAGATGTTGAGCTTCGCCTCCCATACGCTGTGGAGGTGGACCAGGCCCAGGGATAACATGCTTCGTGATATCATCCGCGAACAATGACAGGCCCACGTCCCTGGAGACCCCATTCGGCTCGGTGACCAACGCCATCGAACACGAGGTCGCCCGCTGTCGAATTTCAAAGAACGGCTCCAACCCCTTCTGGTAGTAGTATGGAAAGCCCCGTGCAGCATTTGGATGGCCCATGAAGTCGCCCGTGCTGGGGCGCAAGCTGATGGTTTCGCCCGATGTGATAATATGGCACGCACTCTGAATGATACGCTGATGTTGAAACCTGACGTCCTCCTCAAGATACAGCAGGGGAAGTGTGTTCAGCATGATATCACGCGATACGCTGGAGAACGCGTTAGTGGCGTCTTCGTTGACGATCACGTGCGAGTAGCCCTGCCTCTGCAAACGCCAGGACGTGCAGCACTGTGTTAAAATCGCATCTTCCCGTCTGCGCTTTTTTGCAAACCCATGACATACATATGGAAGTGCATCCCGATGCCGACGTGCTCTGACCCATAAGTGCGAATTCCACGCCTTGCCCAGCGGGCAGAATACATGAATCCAACGTTGACTCTCGGCTCCCAACTTTCCGTTATGCTTGTCCAAACCGCAGCATGAGGATACATCAAAGATCAAAGGCGTGGACGCTGTCCGCCGAAAGCAAGCTAATACATCTAAAAAACGCTCCGTAAACGCCGTCGAAGTCACAGGAAGAAGATCCGCCCCCACTCCACCACCACGAAATTGCTCCCAGCACGCGGGATCCAGGAGCAGAAGCCAGAGCTCCGAAGGTAAAGACCACAACGGAGTCGCCCGTCTTTTTGGAGCCCGCCTCAGCTGCCGCACGATACCCATCAAATCGGTACGAGCGTCCGCTATGTTATCCAGCTGCATGGCGTTGTAGCGAACCTCCTCGGAGACATCCCAACCGTCGGAGTGAGGTCTTTCGAAACGATCCAACAATTCCTTTTGCAAGTCGCATGTCGTAGCACCGAGGCCACCCTCGACCGCAGGTCGGCACAGAAAAGCGGAGATCTCATGAGCAGCACTGTTTTCAGACTTCAATACAAAATACTTCCTGTGCCGAGGACCTGCCCCACGCCTAGATAGTCGTCTGATAAGCCTCTGGACGTTGTAGTGGTCGTGCGACTTCCATGCGTTGTTAAGCTCCAAGGTCAATGATGCCTCTCGTTCTTTCATGATCAGCTTCGAAAGGCGACGAATCCGAAAAGTAGTTCGTGCCAGCTGAAGTTCCAGTTCCGAACGTTGCTCCAGACGGGCCTCCTCATAAGTACTCAGAATACCAGAACAACCCAGACTCCCAATGTGTATACCCTTGAACTTCTTCCGTGCTTGCAACAATTCTGAGCGCTCCCTTTCCAATGCTGTTTTTTCTGCCTCCAGGTCGGATTTCTTTGAGAAAGTGTCCATCGCCGTAGTAGTCATCACGCTCACGATCGAGTTCCATACTTCATCAGGTGTCGCTCGAGAGCACAGGCTGATCCATTCGACCTCGGGGATCGACGTGACCGCCGAGTGCATGGCCTCGATCGCCTCCGTGCACGCGGTGCCCTGAGAGACAGAGCGCATAATCCTATCGAAATCCCATGGCGGCGTTCTGTCCACAAACTGAGCCTGAAAGTCGTACTTCACTTGCAGATAGATGGGTCTGTGCTCTCGATCGTCCAGTGTCGAAATAGGTTGAAGTCGTCGACCCGCTCCGTGCAGAATCGTGCATTTCTCCACGTGTGGGCGCAGCTGCTGGGGGATCACCAGGAAGTCGATCCGAGACGAAGAGTCGCCCACTCCGTGGAATGTGGGTCCCAGCGGGTAAAAAGTGTTGATAGCGCACATATGTGTGTCCCCCATGGTCTGACGAAGAGCACTGCCCGCGACGCCCTCGAGGTCCGCGTCGCACACACCGACACAGGCATTCACCCCCACCTCCTCCTCAACAGGAATAGCCTCGCCCTCGAAAATGAACTCACGAGCTCTGCCCAACCCGTCGTTCAGGTCCATGCCAACAATGGGAGTGCACCGTCCCCCCGTGGATAATAACAGATTCCGTAGCCAGGCCAGCATCTTGTTTACCTTTCGTTTCTGCTCATCACGGCCCGCCCGCATGCTCGAATATACTGGAAAATACATAGTCACGAACAACACATCAAGGGATCCAGACATCAGGCGCACGGCGCCACACCTCCCCTCCAACTCCGCGGGCGGGCAGAAAATACGTCTAATGCAGCGCTGCGGGAAGACCTTACTGCGCAGCATGATACTCGTTCCACACGATTTGTTCGAAGACCTCGAGTAACCAAACGATAATTCATAATGACGTGAGTGGCGGAACACACGATGAGGCTCGTCCTCCATCTTTCTCCGACCAGTTCCCTGCAATAGGACCGCCCCCACGTTCCCGAACTCCGATGAAACCTCTTCCCCTCGCATTCCACACAGATGCATTGGGTTGTAAGTCACAGCGCGCAAAAATCTGGAGGGGGCCGCACCCGCGATCGTCGTCATAGTCCACGCTGTCGCCGCCGCACACGGCGAGGAGCCTGCGGCGGCGTCGGGCGCGGCCCGCTCCCTCTCACGGAGAGCGCGGGCCCCGCATGGGCGGAGAGCACATCGCTGCCTCTGAAGGGAGTGCCCTGGCGGTTCCAGAAGCTGCGAAGAAGAGTGGGATTTGCGCCGCGACAGCAGCTGGCGGAGGAGGAGCAGGAGGAGGAGGAGCAGGAGGAGGAGGAGAAAGAGGCGGAGAAGGAGGCGGAGGAGGAGGAAATTTATGCTGGATTATGGTAGCCTGATCTCCGCAGCTGCGAGGCACGCACCACGGCGACGATTAAAAGCTTCCCCTACCCCAGGCCGTCCCTGGGCGATAAAGTTCGGCTTTGGTCAAAACGGCTTGCCTGTGGTGGGGTGTCGGCCTTCCCACAGACGGCTCAAACGCCCAGCCATTGTTCGGGGGTTTCCTTCGACACAGCTCGACAGCAAACCAACCCATCTGTCCTGAGCGCACCTGGCACATCGGCGACAGAAGATCACACGGGGGAGGCACATTAGCCTGTGCCCCTGGGCGCGGGCTCGTTCGATCCTACCTCCGCCCCCCCCCCCTAACCCAACACGGTGGGGCGGGGCGCCGGGAGGCGGAAGGTGGGGAGGCCCCACGGCCCCCCCTTCACCCCCACCAGGCCGGTGTCTGGGGGGGTTGGGGGGGTTCGAGTCCCGCTCAACCGGACCCGAGCCCTCGGAGGTGTCAACGAGCCCTTTGCCTAACACTCCCACGTAGGCTGCGAACTCAAGCACATCCGTAACGAGTTTGAATCGCTGTATGTATGCAGCTCGGTGCCATTCAGGGTGCTGCTGCAGTCGAGCTCTTAGCTTGGCATACTGATCGGCGAATTTGTTTCCCTCCCACAGCTCGAGGCCCATCTCGTTTCGTTGGGCTCTCGCGGCATGGGCTTTTACTTTCTCAAAACTGACCCCTCGCGGCCCCATGCCACCGTTTTCAGCGATCAAGGCCCAGCAGCGCGCCCACGCGTCTCTGCGTGGCGTGGCGGGGCGCGCCGCCCACGAGGGCCCTCTCAGAAACCCGTCGATGACCGACTGGCAGTCGGAGACGATGAAGATGGGCGGGCAAGCCACCTCCAGCACGCGGAGCACGGCCATCAGCTCGCTCAGGAATATGGATTGCTGCCACTGCGGCCTTGGCAGGGGCCCGCAGCACGCGCACTCCAAGGACATGTCCCCGTTCAGCTGCACGAGTGACCAACCTCCGCGTCGTAGGGCAGCGTACTTGCCGTACAATAGGCTGCCATCGGAGTACACTCGGCCCGCGGCGAAACCCGCGAAGTCGCCCTCGACGCGAATGGCGTCGGCGACGGCGATGTCCCACAGACCGAGCTCCACCGCGGGGTCGTTGGCCAGCCCCCGGCCCCAGAGCTGCTCGGACCCTGGCCATGGGCTGGCTCCTCGCTGCACGACGTGGGCGCCACCCACGCGCCGACGCCCCTCCTGCCGCGCCGCGCTGACGAAGGTGCGGTGTCTGTCCGCGCCCTCGCCCTGGTTGCACGCATTGCAGATGGCGTCGGGTGCCGCCCCCTTGGCATGCAGCCGCGCCTGCGGCCACGTGCCCCCGCACCAGGGCGCCCTCGCGCGCGCCTGGTGCGCCTGCGCCCAGCGCCCGCGGCATGGCCGCCGCAGGAGCGCCCTCGCAGGCTCAACGAAGACCGAATGCACGTTGAACTCGCTCCCCCACTTGGCCAACCACGCGTCCTCGAGGCCCTGCTCGGTGGCGGCGCGGACGTAGCGATGCAGCCCGTGGAGAGGAATCGTCCTCAGGTCGATGACGTTGGTGCCGATGGCAATCGGATGCGCCGCCTGGGTCATCCAGCCGAGCCTCCTGACCGCCGCCACGAAGGCCCCTGCTGGGCCCCTCACCTGCTGCCGCGGGGCCTTCGCAAGGCCCACTCGAAGGCCCACCGCTTCCATGCGGCCTGGAGCCTCGGCACGAGACTCGGGTCGTCCTCTGCTTCTTGCCAGGTCTGCGCCCACGCCAGGATCGGGGGCGCGTTGGCCAGAATGCCTAGGTCTACGTCGTCGGCCAGCAGCGTCAGGCACGTGGACCGCCCCTTCGCATTACCAGCCATGGCCGTCGCCACGCTCTGCCGCAGCTCGCCCAGCTTGGCGTCGGCCATACCCATGACATTGACGCCGTAGAGCAGAACGGCACCTTCCTTGGCGTGCCTGATCACCTTGTGTGCCGGTCCCCCGGCTCGCCGGACCCTCGCAATCCGATCCCGTCTGGCGGCGAAGTTGACTGCCCTCTTGCTGAAAGCCCCCGCTCGCCGGCATCCGCCCGCGGCCGTCGCGACGCCGAGGTGCTTCTCTTCCTTCACCATCCTCGCGCCGCGGGTGCGGACGCGCTTGCCGAGCTCCGCGTTCAAGGCCGAGGTCGAAGCCAGTGTGACCGTCTTGCCCCCCTCGCCCCGGGAGACCCGCATGTCCACGACCACCTCGAACATGTTGATCAGCGTCTGCACAAGCTGGGAATGCCAGTACTGCACGAACTCCCTGACGCCGTGCGTCGCCATCGCCAGGTCGTCGAAGAACAGGCAGGCGTCCGCCCAGGGGATGGCCTCGACGACCCCGTCCAGCTCCATGTATAGGACAATCTTGAGGAAGAGGGGTGCGAACCTGCTTCCTGCCACAATGCCCCCGGCCCAGCGCCGCCCACGCGAGTGGCACCCGTCGAGGACGATGCGCCTCACCATCGCGTAGATCCTGAGGACGACCTTCAGGATGAGGCGGTTGAAGCCCCACCGCGAGCCCGCCTTCCAGACCAGCTCGTGGGTCACGTACTCGAAGCACTTGACCAAGTCGAAGTACGTCACGGCGTACTCCAGCCCCTCCGCGACGGTCGCCTCGCAGAAGAGCGCCTGGACCCAGGCCGCCCGCTCGCTTGAGCGGCCCTTGGCAGCCCAGTCATAAGCCCGTCTGTTCGCCTCCTCCCAGCGCCTGGCGAAAGGGAACCGGATGGTCTCCCACAACCTCGCCAGCTCTGGGATCAAGCCGAGGTTCCTGTAGCCTCCTGCGGGCTTCGCGAGCAGGTAGAACAGGATGGTGGATTGAGGCTCGGGCCATGGCGACCCTGCCTCCACCGCGTTGAGCACGCTTGCCACGCGCGCTGCCCCTTGGACGCCTCCCTGCTTCCAGAGTCGCGGATGCCAGCCCGACTCTCCGAGGCCCGTCTTGGCGCGGAACTTGTCACTGGCGTCCAGCACTTCCTTGGGCGTGATGGATGGCGTCCTGTACTCCTCCCTCTCGAGCGCTGTGGGGGGCTGGCACCATGGCGCAGTCGGGTCGTACTCATCGCCCCAGATCGCCTCCCAGCCCGCGAGCGAGTGGTCAGCGGCCTCCTGGGGGTGTGCGAGCGCGTGCTCGCTGATGTTCTCGTTCTGTGGTGGCGCAGTCGGCTGCCACGGCACGTGCGGCTTGGTCCACTTGTGTATGGCCCCCGCGCTTGCTGCTCCGTGGTCACGTAGCCACCTCCTCCAGCCTGCGGCTGACGCGCGATGCACCAGCCTCCAGCTCCTCCGACTAGCCACGTCCAGGAGGGTCGCGACGCAGTCGATGTATTGCAGCTCCTGAGCCGTCATCCTGTCGACGTCGATGCTGCCCACCGTGTTCACGATGGCGGGCCACTGCACTGTGTCCCAGGTGAGCTGCTCCTCGGCGCCCGGCTGCTCCCCCCCGCGGGGTAGCGCTCCAGCCGCGAGGCGGCTCTGTACCACTTCCGCCTCCTCGCAGGGGAGGTCGGGGAGGGACGTGTCCTCGTTCTCCGACACCAGCGACGCCGCCTCGTCTTCCCACGCGGTGCCCTTTTCACTCTGCGGGCCAACTGCAAAAGGGCACCGCTGCGGTGCGGCGCCCCCAGCAGGGTCGTCTCCAGCGGCCCCGGCAGCTGCCTCTTCGGTGGCGGGCTGCAGGCCTCCCAGGGAGCCCCCTGGCGGGGCCGCCGCGAGGACCTCCGGGGCCGCCCTCATCAGCGGCATGACGATCTCGTGGGCCAGCATGGTGTCGGCCACGTGGATTGCCTGACGCCTCGTCTCGTCGGTCTCGCTGGTCCACCAGCGCGTCACGAAGTTTGTCAGTTGCCTGAGCCGTCGTGACAGCCACTCGGCTGCCTCTGCCCAGGCCTGCTCCCTGGGCACCTCCTTGTGCCTCGGCGCCTCCATGTATGTCCACATGTAGACGGCCTGCTCGTAGTGCCCCTGCCGCCGCGTCAACTCCTCTCCCTCGAAGTTGTGGAAGCGGTTGAGGTGCTCCTCGTAGGCCACGCCCAGCGCCCGCCAGTGGTCATCCATGACGTCCTGGCTGTGCCCTCCGTGCCTCGGCAGAAGGCGAGGCCAATGCGTTGGGAGCGTCGCGCGCCCCATGGGTAACTCCAGCGGCCACCGCTGCGGCTTCTGGAGCACGCAGACCATCCGGTCGTCCCTGTGCTGCCTCGCGAGCCGAAGCACGACGGGGGAGTGCGGCGACGCGTTGTAGCCGTTCTGCACCGTCGCCTCCAGCGGCCCGAGGACCAGTCTCTTCGAGACGACGAAGTAGTCTCTGTCGTACTGCTGCCCGAGCATCGCACAAGAGCCCTGCTGCCTGTCGTGCACGATGATCCCGTTCATCCTGCAGAGCAGCCCCGAGTCCCTGATGACGCGCGGGTCCATGTTGCAGTCGCCCCCGAGCACCCACTGGTAGCCAGTGGCGTTGACGACGCTCGCCCACTTGGTGAGGATCAGCTCGTTCCTGCGCGCGAGGCCCTCGCTGGTCCAAAGGTAAGCCGGCCCGAAGAGCAGGCCTCCCTTGCACACCCCATCTGGCCTTGCCACGGCTAGTCTTCCCCTCGAGGCTGGCGGTGAGATGTCCCAGCTGTTGATACCTCTCCGCGCGAAGTCCATGCCCTGGCGGCGCCGCGTGGCCACCAAGACTCCCCCACTCCAGCCTCCCTCCTGTTTGACGCTCGGCACGATGCCAAGCCTCCAGCCCAGCTTTTCCATGCGCCCGACGAACAAGTTAATCCTGTGCTCGTCGGCCTGCAGCTCCTGTGCCATGATGGCGGGCGTCTGCACCAAGTAGCCCACCTGCATCATGACCCGCTCCAGCGTGCCCAGGGAGTTCGCGTTGATGGTGATGAACTCCTGGTAGCCGCGTGCGTCGTCAGGATCACGACGGCTTCGTCCACTGCAGCTTGGAGATGGTGATGCACGTCCCGGCGAACATGCCAGCAACCAGAGCAACCATAGGAGGGGCGTGCACGTCCATTTGCTCGGGCGTGACGCCGCCGTCCTGCATGATCTTGCGCACCGCCTGCTCGTCGGAGCCCGCGGGGAACTCGAGCATGTCCTCCTTGACGAGTGTGTCGGCTGCTGCGCGCCGCTTGGCCCTGGGAGGCGGCGGCCTTGCTTGCCTCCTCCTCCTCCACCTCCTCCTCCTTGGCTCGCAGACGGCCGGCCTCCTCGGCGGCCTTACGGGCCTGTTCGGCCTGGGCAGCCTTCTCGTCCTCAAGTTTATTCTGCGACCGCGCGTGCTCCAGCGCCTCCTGCAGGTTGACGTCGCTGTGTCCCTGGCTGCCTCCTCCACCCCCGGTGTGCTTGAGGCACTTGGCAGCCTGTTCCAGGAAGGCCACCGCTGCGCCCCAGCCAGTGCCCGGGCTCGGTACCGAGAGCTCCTCGATTTTGTGTTGAGCTTCTGCAGCTTGTCCTCGTGCGCTGTAGAACTGCACGTTCGTCGTCCAGCGCCGTCTGAGCCTTGGCCAGGTCCTCCTCCAGCTTGGTGATGCGCCGCTTGCACTTGTCCCGCTGCTCCTCGACCCTGTTGCGGTTTCGCACCACCCTGCATTCGGTGAAGCACCTGGGCACTCCCGTGTCGATCTGTGCCTGCATCGCGTCAACCCTCTCTTGGAGCGGGCCGATCTTGTCCACCACGAGCTCGCCAAGGATGGGGTCATCCGACATCTTTTTGAGCTCCGCCAGCTTGGACCGCAACGTGGCAAGCTGCTCGGCGGTCGGGTTCTTGTCCTTGTCGGCCTCGTCGGTGGACTTGCTGGTGTCGTCAGCTGTGCCTGCAGCGGGCTTGGCCTTCCAACACCTCCAGCAATAGTCGTAGCCGTCCCCATTCTTGGAGGTGCAGTGCCCGCACCTCCAAGATCCATGCTGCTGCTGATGCTTGGACTTGGGGGCCATACGCTCTTGCACGCAAGGCCACTTTGAAGTTGGCGTGCAAATCGCCCGCGCTGCCTCCTCAGGCAAAGGGCGGCTTGGGCGCAAAATGGCTAGGAGGAGGAGGAGGAGGAGGAGGAGGAGGCAGAGGAGGAGGAGGAGGAGGAGGAGGAGGAGGAGCAGGAGGAGGAGGAGGAGGAGGAGGAGAAACCCGGGCACCGGTGCAGCGGCGGAGGCGGCCGAAACGAAGCGAGGCAGAGAGGGGGGCGGTGCGCCCGCACGGCTGCCCCCCGAGGAGCCGAGTGCATAAACCCCCTACCTGGCCATCGCTCGGGCGTCCATTCCCTGTGTTTGTTTCGGTTTCGTGCGTGGTTTTGTCGCCAAAATCATCAAGGATGCTCCTCGATGGTCCTCGCCGAAGGGAAAATGCACACGTCCGAGCGATGCCAAGCTACCTCTGCCAGCGTCGGCGGCGAGCGAGGGGCGCCGAGAGCTGCGAGGCGTTTCGAGCTTTCCCGTCGGTGCTCGACGATTTTCCTGCCCCGGGATGCGTTCCAGCGGCGGCGCCCCGCCGAGAGCGATCTCCTGGGGTGCCTATAGATCGTCCCGAGCGGCCGCCGGGGGCCCGAGGTGTGACCAGAGAACTGAACTCGGCGGCGAGCGAGGGGGGCAGCGAGGAGGAGGCTCTTGCAAAAGGCGGCGGGGCTTCTCGGAAGCCTTCCAGCCTTCTGAGACATGTGCTGTGTCTTCAGGGATGGCTCAGCACACTTCTCGAAGGCCAGAGAACTTGCGAAGCTTCTGAGAAGGCCAGCCCCCTCTCACTTCCTCCTCAGGGCTGGCCGCCGACAGTGATCCTCAGAACGTGCACAATCAAATCCATACCAGGAATGCGCTGCTTAATCAAGGCGTCCCTTTCATCCCTGTTTCTCTGGCCATCCTGAGCCAGTGTTGACGACCGAGGAGCTCTAAGGAAAAAATACATGTCAGTCCCAAGTTACCAGCCTCGAACGTACCCCTATCCCTAAGATTGACACGCCAGAAGGCGACGACAATCTTAGGGATTCGCCCTCAAAAAATAAGGGAATCCCTACGATTGGCATCGTGATGAGGAGGTGCCCAGCATAGGGATAGGGATATGTTCCAGGCTGGTAACCAAGGGTCGTTTATCCCTACCTTGCCATCCACACCATGGATTTCTGCAGCAGCGCCAACGTGTTCTCGTCCACCGAAGCCCTTCAAGACGACGCATGCGGTGTACTGAGGGCCGACACGGGCTCGTGTGGCACCGGCGGAGCTGCACGGAGTAGGACTGCAGTGGGCTATAAGACAAGTCCTGGGGACTGGCCATCGCTCGGACGTCCATTCCCTGTGTTTTTTTCGATTTCGTGCGTGGTTTTTTCGCCAACTGATCAAGGATGCTCCTTGATGGTCCTCGCCGAAGGAAAAATGCACACGTCCGAGCGATGCCGCGGGGGATCGTCTGATGTGGAAGAGAACGCCAGCGGGAGCGCGCCGACGTGGCCGCCAAGACCCTGGAGGTGGCGGCGTTGCTGCAGCGGCTCGAGGAGTCCGCATCGCCTGCTGGCTTGGCATACATCCTCTCGGTCGAGACGGCCAACGCCCCTCGGCGGAGCAGGAAGTGCGCCGAGCTCGAGGCCGTGGCGGCCGAGGCGCAGGGCAAGGAGCCCGCCCTGCCTGCGCGACCTCGGCGGCGCTGGAGCGGCTGGGCGCCGAATGCCGCCGTTTAGGAGCTGCAGCTTGCTGTACCCTTCCTGCGTAAAGGGTGACCGCAGCGGAGGCGCGCGCCTTGCGGTGCTGAGGCCAACCGAACACGGATCCCTTCGGTGCTGGGGTGAAGCAAGGGCGACTGTGATGAGCCTCGTTTTTTTACGTGTCACATTTCGGGGCATTCGGGCATTGCGGGCGCATTGACTGGTGCCCACGTGGAACTGTTCGGTGCTGTGGTCAACCGATGGCAACTGTAATGAGGCAGTGCCGTTGCACGCAACGCATTCGACACTGCTGGTGCATCGATTGTGTTGCTCCCTCAGATGGCCGCTGCTGGATCCGATTCGTCGTTCTCGGTCGGGGCTCTGGATGGGCTCTCGGTCTTGTTTTTGAATATTCCTCTTGTAGAGGGACAGGCCCGACTTTATGGTAGGCCGTTGGGGATTCGCCCGTCCGTCCCCGCGGGTGTGGTTTTCTGCCGGGGTGCCGCAGCTGGCGGGGAACCTGCCCTGGGCGCCCCGGTTGCCCGGGCCCCCCTCGCCGCGTCGGTCAGCCGTGGCGCACTCCAGCTTCTCCAGGACGAGGGCGTGCCTTGCCCATCTCTTGGCCGGGATCCCTCACACGTCTGCGTTGTGTTCCCTCACGTTCTATACAGTCGGGCCGCTGAAAGAAGGAACGCTCAATAAGGAACGAAGCCCCTTCTTGGCCCTGTAAGCGCCTCCGTGCCCCAGGAGGGCAAGAGGAACAGCACTGGAGGAACCTAAGGAACATCGAGCCCCTTCCGAACCCAAACTGTTCCTTATTTCAGCGTCTTGACTGTAGTCGCGGTCCCCGCGTCGGATGAAGGCCTTCATTCACACCCTGGAGGAGGAGGTCGGCCACCAGCTGGGCGCCATATCAGGGTCTGACTGTTTAGACATAGGCGGCTTCTACGATAACATTGCGCGGGAGATCCTCATTCCCAAAGGTCTGGAGCTCGGCTTCCCAGCTGCAGTCCCGCGTCTCGAGGTTCTTCAGTGCATGGCCCCGCGGGCTCTTGGACAATGCAGATCGTGGGCTCTCCCAGTCGCGCCCACTCGCTCAGTCGTCCAAGGGCTCCGCCCGGGCACCAGGTTCGGACGCACCATGGTGCATTCCGTTCTAGACAAGATGTGCAAGAGCCTGCCCCCGCATGGGGCACCGCCTCTGGGTGGGCGACCTTGCCCAGCGGGCGGTAGGGTCTCGGGCTGGCGCGCGGCAGCAACTCGTCGCTTGCCTTCGAGACACCTGCCAGGGCCTCCGCTCCATGCGGCTTCAAGTGGCGCCGAAATATGTTGTGGTCTGTTCCCGGATACCGTTCGCGTGTGCCGCGTGCTTCGTACTGCTGGATTCCCGGTTCGCCCACTACGCACGACTTGGTACCTGGGCACAGACCTGGGCTCTGGACGTCGCCATACTCGGGCTACGAGACGTCAAGCACCACTTGATGCATTCAAGGGTGCGACGTTTCGCCCGAGCAGGCCGCCAGTACGACGTCACGTCGAAGCTCGAACGGCTGGGGGCTCAGGCTGCGGGGCTATACGGTCATCAAGCTCATGGCACGTTTGGAAATTATTCGGAGCAGTGCAATCGGCGTCTCGGCGCCGTTATCTCGGCGCCGTCCAAGGGCAAGTGTTTAACTGCGGTGCTGGCGATCAAGGCACCGCAAAATCCTGCCGAAGAGCCCTCCATTCGCCCTGGGGTCAACCGTGTGTGGCAATCCCTGGTGGAGGAGCTTCGGGCCATCTCCCCAGGGCAACGTACACGGCACATTCGAGGGCCAGTCTCAGCTATCATCACATTGCTCTTGAACAATGGATGGGACCCAGCTACTGCTACATATTGGTTACGACCAGCACCGACGCCTGGAGCGGAGTCTATCGAATGGCACGTTCCCTCACACTGCATGGACGGGGTGGCCAGGTGTTGACGACCCAGCCCTTCTCATCCAGGACGTGCAGAAGCCGATGAGTGACCCGCTGTGGGCTCAGGCTGCTTGCGACCCACCACTGCGGAGGCGGCACGGAAGGCAGAGCTGACTGCACGTCCCTCCGTCGCCTTCACCGCCAAGTGCAGTCCCTGGGTCGCGGAGGTCGCCACGCCGAGCTGCTGGCTACGATCGCTGCTGGGGCGTTCTGGACACGCACGCGGAGAGCAGAGTGCCCCCCCACATGTGTACATTATCCTCCTCCTCCTCCTCCTCCTCCTCCTCCTCCTCCTCCTCCTCCTCCCTTCCTCTTCCTGCACCTCCTCTCCTCCTCCTCCTCCTCCTCCTCCTCCTCCTCCTCCTGCTCCTCCTCCTCCTCCTCCTCCTCCTCCTCCTCCTCCTCCTCCTCCTCCTCCCTGTTGACAAGTTATGTCCACGTTGCTGAGAGGAAGACGAAACCCCTGTTCATCGGATGTGGATCTGCAGCAAGAACAACAAGGACGAAGAGGCCTGGGCAAGTGAGGCCGTTGCCAACTGGGAGGCCACCGAGCGCGTTTGGTTGAGGGGGCTACTACGTTCAGCTCTGGTGGAGGATCTTTCGCATGTCAAGCCTGCTGTGCTTGGGAATGCTTTCTGCGGCCTAGCAAGGGAAAGACAGTCCGTATCTCGAGGCGAGCTCAGAGCCCTGCGTACTGCTGCCCAGAAGTCTGCAAGTTGTGCTGCGTATACGACTGTCAAGGAATGCGTGGCTGAAGGATGGGTTTACCGACAGTATGCCTCACCTTCAGGCCCCGACGCGGAGTTGTGGTTGAGTAGGAAAGCGATTCGAACCCCATCGCGACCCAACCGCCTTCGTGGTGAGTTTCGTCAACTCGCACCTGGAGGCCCGCGAGGACGCGCCTGGGAGATGTCGATTTCCGATGTGGATGATCTTGGGCAATATCGTGGCGGACAGTCACGCAGGGGCCGCAGCTGCTGAACAACAGGTTTGCATTGAACACAAAGCACGCGCGGAGAAACGGGAATAGAAGCTATACGTTGTCAGGCTGCGCCTGCTCCGCGCCACGGTGGATACGCTCCAGGCCGAGAAGCTACTTGCGCCGAAGGGGCAGAGAAGACGTGAGGCCCACCATCCCCCTCCTCCTGCCCCTTCAGTGGTCCGAAATTGTTCGACCATCCGCTCTCTGGATGATACGGGTCGCCGATGTACTCGGTGCTGTAGTTCCGCGACCCTCGCAAGACGAGCTTTGTGGAGGGACCCTCCGTGTTGTCATCCCGTCCCTGTTTACGGAGATATGTTCGAGGTCCCGGCTGGAGTAAAGCTGCACTTTGCGGGGGGGGGTACATCACACGCACCATATGAAGTTGCACGGTACACCCAAGTTGTGGTTATGCTGCCGATGCGGATGCTCCGCCAACCAGATGCAAAGGGTCTTGGGCAGGAGTGCCACCAGACCGCAAAATCCAACAGGTCAGAGCATCTGTCCCGCACTGCCGAAGGCCATTGGCCCAAGGCACTGAGCAGGGCAGAGCAAGCTCGCAGCTTCGCTTCGCGAATGGGGTCGAACTCGAGCCCTACTCCGCCTCCTCCTCCTCCTCCTCCTCCCCCTCCTCCGCCTCCTCCGCCTCCTCCTCCTCATCCGCCTCCTCCTCCTCCTCATCCTCCCTCGCGCCATCGTGTCCTCGTCATCCTCGCCGTCGCCCGCCGCATGCCCTTATTCCTTGTCCTCCTCGTCCTCCTCCTCCTCCTCCTGATCCTCCCCCTCCATTTTGACGTTGCTCGGACCTGAAGCACGAACATGTGGCGTTAAAGCCTCCTCCTAGTCCTCCTCCTCCTAGTCCTCCTCCTCATCCTCCTCCTCCTCGTCCGTCTCCTCCTCCTCCTAGTCCTGAGCTCCTCTCCGCGATTGGCCAAAAGTTGGTAATGGAGGAGACAAGCCAAAGCGCACCCGCACGGAATGGAAAGAATGCGCAAACCCTTGTCTTTGCACGTACCACTGAAATCACTGAAACCACTTGCACCGACTGCCATTGAACAATTTGGGGTCATGTGCAACGACACCATTCAAAACCTCGCGCGTAACGCGCCCACCCACCCCCACCAGGAATGAGAACGGTCGGTCGGCCCGGTTGCGGATGAAGCAGCGCACGGAGTAGCCCGCGTTAAGAAACTGGCGCACGACCTATCGGCCGAAGTCATCCCACTCAACATATCGCTCAACATCTGCATCATCAGCTTCATCATCATCATCATCATCACCATCATCATCATCGTCGTCATCGTCATCATCAGCATCGGCGGCATCACCATCCTCATCATCATCAGCAACGTTCGCACATCAGCATCGTCATGATCAGGAGCACCATCATCATCACATCAACATCGAGAGCACCATGAAAATCACCAGTATAGGCTTCACCATCGCCTTCAACGTCAAACTTGGCATTTTCATCGGCAGCATCAGTATCAGCATCAGCAGCATCAACAGCATCAGGATCAGCACCAGTATCAGCATCAGTCTCAGCATCAGTGGGGGGCTCTCCGTTCCACATTCGATCTCACCCCCTCACCTCCGACGCAGGCACCCTCCGACGAAACTTGCATGTAGCTTCAGGGAGGGCGGCAATGTATAAAGTCGCTGGCTCCCGGCGGTGATTTATACGCGGCCACCCACTCCAAGGTCCGCCGGCCAAGACGGCCCCCAAGGTCCGCATGAGCACCCCAGAAAAGCCCCAAACATCGGCCCTTCGGGCTCCACGGAGGCGACGCTAACGAAGGCTCCTTCCGTTCTGATGGATGGCATCCAGGATGGCCTCAAGAGAGGCAAATCTCCCAAAAGGGCCCCACACATTTTACGGCAGGTTCGCATCGTGCCGACTTCGGTGCTGGTTTCTGACACCGCGGGATTCGTTCAACCTTGAACGATCGGGCGTTTCCCGAACGTCAGATCGATAACCGTCGACCGATTCTGGGAGGCCAGCGGCGTTCAACGTTGAACGCCAGCAGCGGGGTCGCCGCCGGTCGACACGACGCGAACCTGCCCCTGAGATCGGACTTCTCAGAAAAATTGAAACATGGTGAAGATCACTTGCCAGCCTGGAACATATCCCTATCTCTATGCTGGGCACCAATTCATCACGATGCCAATCTTAGGGATTCCCTTATTTTTTGAGGGCGAATCCCTAAGATTGTCATCGCCTTTTGGCGTGTCAATCTTAGGGATGGGGATACGTTCGAAGCTGGTAAATCACGACTGGAGCCATAGACCCCATCTCCCTGCGCCATTTTCCCAGGCGGATCCATCCGCGAGGCTCCCAAGGCCCGAATCTGGGCGAAAGCGCCCGGCTCGAAAACTTTGAAGCGCCAGGATCTCAGGGGCCGTCACTTCGCGTAGTTGTCACCCCGCGATGCGTGAGGCGCGGCTCTGCTCGCGCCCTCGCGCCCCCGCCCTAGGAGTTGTGGGTGCCATGACAGTGGACACTCTGCCAGACCTGTCATGGAATCAAAAATCTGTGTAAAATGTGTGAAATCCTGTTCTTCACATATCTCAGATATGCTTTTGCATGTTGTTAAAAAAGCATGGCTGAGACATGATGTTCTAGACACTTGGAAATTATTTGGCAGCATGCTTCCTCTCCGTTGAGCGACTTCCACAGCCCTGGAAAGAAGGATGCTTTTGAATGTTGAAAAAAGCATGGCTGAGACTGGACACCTGGAAATTATTTGGCAGCACGCTTCCTCTCCGTTCATCGACTTCCACAGCCCCAGAGAAGAATGGCCGGGCGCATCTGGGCCGCGACGCGCCGGAGCGCGGGCACTCTTCGCGCCCCCGGGGGTGGCCTCAGGAGGAGGAGGAGGGAGAGGAGGAGGAGGAGGAGGAGGAGGAGGAGGAGGAGGAGGAGGAGGAGGAGGAGGAGGAGGAGGAGGAGGAGGAGGAGGAGGAGGAGGAGGAGGGGAGGGGAGGGGAGGGGGGGAGGAGGAGGAGGAGGAGGAGGAGGAGGAGGAGGAGGAGGAGGAGGAGGAGGAGGAGGAGCAGGAGGAGGAGCAGGAGGAGGAGGGCGAGGAGGAAAGGGAGGAGAAGGAGGAGGAGGAGGCCACAGATCCAAGGGGCACTCCAGGCTCCACCAGAAGCACTCCACAGGGGCGCCCAGCTTCGCGCGTCGCGCTGCGCGATAGCGCGAAAGACTTCGCGCCCTCGCGCAGCCCTCCAGGGGAGAAGCGGAGGATGCAGGATCGGAGCCGAGCCGCCAAGCTCGAAGCGCGAATCACTTCGCGCCCTCGAGGGCGCCCTTGCAGAAAGGAGTCCAAGGGGCCCACCAAGAAGGGGCCCGACGGCTCCCGAATGGCGGCAGGCTCCAGCAGGCTCCTCGAGGGCCCCACGTGGGCAGTCGTGGGGTGCCATTGGATTCACTGGTGGCCCCCTCAGTAGCTCGCAAGTGATCCTCGACTTCAATTCTCACGTCAACTCGCCTGGATGGGCGAAATGGGTAAACAAAGACCGTGGAAACAGGTATGCTCCGAAGCCACTTCTTCGGGAGCGGTTCTCTTGACGTGATCCGCGTGAACAGACAGGGGGCACGAATGAGTCTGCTGGTTTTGGGCGGCTGGCCCATGTTCATCTGCACCTGTACCGTATGCACTGCCCATCGTGTTGTGCCCCGTCGTATCCGGTCGTACAGTCGGCCCCATGCCAGAAGAACATCCCTCAAGAACATGACAACCTCCGCTGCCCAAACCGCACGGAGCATCCAAGGGCACCATCCCAAGGGTGCACAAAGAAAGTCCAACGAGCACGAGGAACATCAGGGTACCCTCCCCGAGCAACCCTCGGTCTTGCACCTCGGTCCATCTGCACCAGGAGAGCCCAGAATCGAATCGACAAGTCGGATCGGCGATCGACATGAACCGGATCGACAGATATCGGCAACCGAGTCGGGAAAAGACGAATCGGCACACATCGGCAGGCTAGTAGGCCTCCAGTCGGAAATCGGATCCGAAAACGGAATCCGAAATCTCGAATCGGAATCGAAAACCATCGAAGTCGATCTGAATCGAACCGGAAGAATCGGAACGAGCCCTGCTGTACAGGATAACCCCACCAGCCCTTTGGGCGTGAGTAGTTTAGAGAGCCCGCTCTGTCCTCAACCCCCCTTCTTCCCCTTCGGGGAGGGGTTTACCCCTCCCCCTACCCCCTCCCCCTGGACCTGGATCGGAAGTCCCGAGCGTGGTCAGGGGAGTCTTTTTCGACGCCTGGGAGGGCCAAAAAACGACGACCCTCACGAGGATTCTGGCCCCGAGGGGGGGGGGACCGTTTGGCGCCTCCGCTCGTCTTTGAAGCAAAAAACATTGATTTTACTATGGTTTTGGCCCCACGTTGGCCTTCTGAGGGGGCCGCGCTCCTCTTCCTTCATGGCAAAATCATTCATTTTACGAAGGTTTTGGCATCATTTTGTCCTTCTCACGGGGTCAGCGCTTATTTGCGCTTCTGAGGAGGTCGCAAGAGGCCCCAAGATAGCCCCAAGAGGCCCCCAGGAGGCTCCCAAGAGGCCTCCAGGAGGCCCCCAAGAGGCCCCCAAGAGGCCCCAAGAGGTCACCAAGAGGCTCCCAAGAGGCCCCCAAGAGGCCCCACGAGGCTCCAAGAGGCCCCCAAGACACCTCCAAGAGGCCCCCAAGAGGCCCCCAAGACGCCCCAAGAGCTCCAAGAAGCCCCCAACAGGCCCAACGAAGAGCCCGAACGACGCACACCAGGACGAGAGACCCCAACGACTCACACCACGAGGAGCCCGAACGAGGGGACCGAACGACTCGCACCAGGACGAGGTGCCCGAACGCCTCGATACAGACCCTGTTCGCCGGAAGTCCTGTTCGCCGGTTCCTGTTCGCCGGTTCCTGTTCGCCGGAAGTCCTGTTCGCCGGGTCCCCGTTCGCCGGGGGTCTGTTCGCCGGAAACCCTGTTCGCCGGTTCCTGTTCGCCGGTTCCTGTTCGCCGGTTCCTGTTCACCGGTTCCCGTTCGCCGGTTCCTGTTCGCCGGAAGTCTTGTTCGCCGGTTCCCGTTCACCGGTTCCCCTTCGCCGGATCCCGGTCGCCCGTAGCCGGGCCCCCGTTTGCCGAGCAGGAGGAGCAGCAGGAGGAGCAGCAGGGACTCGCAGAAGGAGGAGGAGGAGGAGGAGGAGGAGGAGGAGGAGGAGGAGGAGGAGGAGGAGGAGGAACTGCAGCAGGAGGGGCGGGATCAGCATCAGGAAGGGCAACAGCAGCAGGAGGAGCAGCAGCATCAGGAGCAGCAGCAGGAGGGGCAGGAGCCGGAGGAGCCGGGGGAGCAGGAGCAGCACGTGAAGCAGAAAGGGACATGTCACGGCTAAGTGCGGCGGTGGCGCCGCCGAGCTGGCCACTGACCCCTCTTCGCAATGGGGGGCATAGCACCCGCGGGTGCAGGCGCCCCTGCGGCGACACCAGTGCTTCTCGAGCCACATCAGGACCCCCTCAAACACAAAAAAATGTCAAGGTTAGGGTGCATATAATGACTTAGTGGCTGGGGGGCGCCACGCAGCAGGCCACTGACCCCTCGCGCCCATGGGGGGCATAGCACCCGCTTGCGCAAGCGCCCGCGCGGTGACACCAGCGTTGGTCGAGCCACATCAGACCCCAAAACACAAACATGGTTCAAGGTTAGGGGACATATAACGACTAAGCGGCTGGGGGGCGCCACGCAGCTGGCCACTGCCCCCTCGCGCTTATGGGGGGGCATAGCACCCGCTTGCGCAGGCGCCCCTGCGGCGACACCTGTGCTTGTCGAGCCACATCAGACCCCAAAACACAAAAACAGTTCAAGGTTAGGGGGCATATAAGGACTAAGTGGCTGGGGGGCGCCACGCGGCAGGCCACTGCTCCCTCTTGCTCATGGGGGGGCATAGCGCCAGCTGGCGCAGACGCCCCTGCTGCGACACCTGCGCTGGCCGAGCAACATCGGACCCCCAAAACACAAAAATGGTTCAAGGTTAGGGGGCATAGAACGACGAAGCGGTTGGGGGGGCGCCACGCAGCTGGCCACTGCCCCCTCTCGCTTATGGGGGGCATAGCACCCGCTGGCGCAGGCACCCCTGCGCGAGCGACACCTGTACTGCCCGAGCCACATCTATCCCCCCAAACACAAAAATGGTTCAAGGTTAGGGGACATATAACGA